ATATAATATAATATGATATATAAATAATAATAAATAAAAAAATATAATGTAATAATAAATAATATAATAATAAAATATAATAATTAATCTTTTGTAATATCAATTAGAAACAATATATTTTTTTTATATAATAATATTTCTATAAATGCATATTTAGATCAATTATGGAAGAAATATATGTGATATCTTTACGATCTAAACACGATTAATTTTCTCAAATTCGTCTTCGATAATGCAAGCACTTTTTATATTTTGAAAACGACAAAACAACTTGAATTTTTTTGTTGAAAAGTTGAAATTAGTTTTCTATATGACATAAAAAAATTATTTATTTAAAAAATTAATTAAATAATTAAGATTATTAAATAAAATTTTAAAGAAATTTCAATTGATCAAAATTAATTGAAGAAAGTAATAAATTTTATAACTTTTTATACTCTTTATAATTTTTATTTGAACTTATAATGAAAATTAAAAAGGTAGTTTTGAAGATTTATATCAGTTATGTACATAAATACATTTCAATAAACATTAAAAATTTTATGAAAATTAGTTGCTATTTCATCGAACATTACTATGAGCTACAAACAATTAAAAATATAGATAAAAATTACAGATTTAAAATTTTCATAAAAAATCTCTTTTATATTTTTCAATATCTATTGTTTATTTTTGCATTAATCAATTTTGATAAAATGTTATATGTAATTAGCATGATCTAGAAAATATGTATATTTCAAATTTTTATTATAAAAAATTTAAAACAATAAAAAGAAAATTGTAAAGAACGATCTTTACTATTTTTCTCACAATTGTAATTTTTTCAAAATTTTTTTTATAGATGTTATATAATAAACTAATTTTTCTAATTTTTTAAAAAAATTCATTTGATCCAACTTTTTTAAAGTTATTGTGTTTTAATTATATAGATAGATTTATATACTATTTATCTGTATGATTTACTATATGATTATTAAAATATATTTATAAGAAGATTTTTATAATACTACCAATCAAATACTAGTAATCAAAGGAAAAAAATATTTCCATTTCTTAATTGTAATATAATATATATAATATGATAATTTATATCATTATATATTATAAAAGTATTATATAATATATAATATATAATATATAAATAGTATTATATAATATATAATATATAATATTTATTAAAAATAACTTATAACTATTAATTAATAAAATATTAAATATATAATATAACTACTATGTTATTCAATAAATCGAGTAATGAATAATACGAAATTATATTTAAACAGCTAGGCAGTGAGATCGACTTGAGCACGAAACAAATTGCCAATATAAATGACGTTTGCGACAGTATGAAGGAACAGCTTCTTGTTTTGGTTCAATGGGCCAAATACATACCAGCTTTTAGTGAGTTAACTCTTGACGATCAAGTGGCCCTTCTAAGGGCACATGCAGGTGAACATCTACTCTTAGGTGTTGCTAGGCGCAGCATGCAACTTCAGGATGTTCTTCTTCTTGGAAATAATTGTATCATCACCAAGAACTGCCCTGGTATGTTTTTCTATTTCTTATTGGGTGATGGTTAAATGTCTATTTCTTTGTGATTAATCCCTTGATAATAATAAAAAGTGATTTGAAATATCATTACAATAATAATGAAGAAATTTAATCCTATAATATAGATAAATAATCTTCACTTTACATCTTTAAATATATTATTATTATTTTCGAAAATTTGTTTACTATTTTCTATTTTAGTGAAGGGATTATAAAAAAAAAACATAAATAAATACCAATTCTTTGATTTTATGAATGAGAAAATGAAATGAGAAAAATATAAAATTTTACAATTTTTTAATTTCATTTTTTTTCTTCTTTAAATACAGTATTCCTCGCTTAGTAGACGCATGTTGGATCTGCAACGCGTCTGTTATTGATATGGACCATATGGTATGTACCATCTTTCGTTTCTTCAATGTATCAAAGACAAATTGAAAAACATTGAATTGAATGTGAGTAAAATAAAGAAAAAAACTCGTCATTTAATCATATATATATTAAATTCATGTAAATACAATTTTATTTAATATTATTTTTATCGGAGAAACTTTAATAATTTCGTTAAAATAATTTGTAAATAAAAAAATAGATAAATAATAATTTGTAGATAAAATAATCTATGGATAAAAATTTTATTTTTCATATTTTGATATTTTATAATAACTAGTCATCGACAATATATTAATATCATTGATTACGAATCGGAAATAATATAGATATTTTCTCCATGAAAGCAATTTCAAAAATTAATGTAATTAATTCTGCATCTATTATTCTAAGCAGAATGAAAATTTAATTCTAAATAGAATGAAAAAACAGAAATAAGCGAGAAATACTGTATTTTTTTTAAATATTTCATTATTATATATATTATAATAATATATAATTAATTGTAAATTGGTTCAAATATAACAATAAAATTTTTATATAAATTTTAAATTTGTAAATGAGTTTTATTAATAACATTATAATAAAAAATAATATTTTAAATAAATAATAAATTGAATAATATAAAAAAAAAAATTTTTATTGTATTAATAATAAGTTTGCTGAAGAACATATATTTATATGAAAAGAATATTCAAATATGAATTTATGAATCAAGGAATTAAGAAAAGTAATTAATATGATATTTTATTAATTAATAATTTGTAGATTAAAATTTTTAAGAATGAAATTAATTTAATTGTTATTTAAAGATTCATCTATATTGCTTTACTAATAGCTATAATTAAATAAAAAATATGTAAATTATTATAAATTTTTAATGAATTAAATAAAAATTATTATCAAACTCTTTATTGTTATTAAATAAAATTTATTTACTTTGCTAAATATATCGTAAAAGCAATAAAAAAATATGTTCGCATTATTATGGTCTTTTTCATGATAATTTACATACAGAACAGTTAATATATGGAAAATCTGATAGAGAAAAAAATAGAATTATTTTTTATACATATAACAATATATGATTTATATAATTTTTTTGTATTTATATTTTTTTTGAAGAATTTTTATTAAAGTGACTTTTAATTTTCTAAATGAACTATTACAATTCTTTTTATATCACATGAAAACATGCTTCAAAAAAAATTCATACAATTATATGCCATTAATGATTTTTAAAATTTTATAAGACAATATAAAAGACAGAAACAAATAATTTAATCATTTCATAACATTCTATTTGCCAATTTTTTTTTATGAATGAAAATATTATTTATTTTATTAAATATTATTAATATTTTAAATATTATATTTTAATCTTTATTTACCACAATATTTAGCTTTCTATAAACATATGCATTATCTATAATTGAAACAAGAATAATTTTACGTGTAATTTCAAATGTTTTATATATTCTACATATCTAAAATTTTTAATTTATTAAAATATTTAAACTATTTAATATATAATTATAATGCTTCTTATTCAATTGCAAAAAAAGTAAATATGATATACGTTTATTGTGAATGTAATTTGATTTTTTTAATGCTTTTCTTGATCAATAATAATAAATTTATTATAATAATACAAATTTATAATGATTTATAATTATAATAATGATATTATCATATCATTATTATTATATAATGATAATAATAATTACGATAAATTAAATTGGGTACAATAACAATGAAATAATTAAATTTAAAATTAAAAACAAAAAATTAAAATTTAAAACAAATTAAAACAATTAAAATTTATTAAAATTTAAAACAAAAAATAAAATAAAAAATAAATTTTTATTGCAATTTTATTTATCCATATTTGAATAATTAGTTTATAATAAAAAGATTTTTTCTCAAAAGAATTGTATTACAAAAATTATAAATATCAAATTGATAAATTTCATATTTCATTTCTAAAAAATTATTTGATTTCTAAACAGAAAATGAAAGAAAAAATTTGAATTTATTAAATTTATCATCAATTGATTATTACATCGAAATATTTTTCTTGTAGCTGCATAATGTTTTTCATACAGAATAAAACAGCTAAAAATATTATTCCAGCGTAAAGATTCTATCGCATTGTTCTATCTGTGATGTCATCGACAGATAAGATTTCAATAAATTACAAATTGCAAAAGGAATAAAAATAAATCACATTTGTTTGAAAAAAGTTTCAAAATGTAATATAATTTTAATTAAAATATTATAATTTTATATAACAAAAATATTCATTTATTATTGATTTTTTTTTATTTATTTTATTTACATTTATTTATTTGTATTTTAAATTATTATGTATATTGTTATAGAAAAAATTCTCCTAAAGATTAATGCTTAAAATCTTTTTTAAATAATAATTTTTTTAATAATAAATATATAATAAATAATAAAAATATAATATTTTGTTTTTCTATCTTACTTTATTTATATATATAAATTATTCAAAAGCATTAAAATAATCAACTTTATTATTACTTTTATACACTTTATTATAATAATTAAATTAATTTTGATAGAATATAATTTTGAGATCATAAAATGGCCAATACTATAAAATATATATACATTTACATGTATATAAATAATATACATAAATGGCTTACTACTATTTATATATACAATAGTTATAAAAGTAAAAATTGTTAAATAATTCGGAATAGTTTTAATATATTTTCTAATAATTATAAATATAATTATCAAAGTATTCGGAAATATAAGTTCAATTTTAAATATTGAATTCTTTTCACTATTTTTCAAATAAACGAGTTTTTTTTATTTTTTCTTTACTTTTCTCAGTTTTCTAATTTTCTTAAATTTATTTTTTAAGTTTCTCTTGTGTTTTATTTTCTTTCTATTTTTTTTTCTTTTCAATCAATTAAAATATTTAAAATAACATTTTTACTTTTTTCAAATTTGTTTATTTTTTCTTTCATTCTGATTTTTTTTGACATCAAATAATGAAATTTTAGAATGTTTTTATAAATATTGATAATATAATAAAATATTAGATATTTAATATCTCTTTTTAAAAATATTAAATATTTTGTGTACATTCATATTCTCATTCATATTTATTTATTCGAAATTATGTTTGAAATAATTTATATAAATACAATTATGAATAAAATATTAAAAATAATATAAAAAAATATAAAAAATAATTTAAATAATTCTTTTTATAATCAAAAAATTATTAAATTTATTGTATTGACATTATTTATCTGTGTATTATTTTTTATATTTTAAATGTAACATATATAAATTTTATATATATCTATTTATTATTTTTATCTTTTCATTTAAATAACAAAGTTCATTAAATTTTGATAAATAAATAATTAAAATATAAATAAAAAAGTTCTTAAAATTGATAATAGTTCTGTAAATAATTGATAATAATATAATATTATTATAATATTAATATTAATTAATAATTAAAATAATATTAATTTATATTAATTTTATATTAAATTTAATTATTTTATAGTTTTTCTTTTAATAAAGTTTTCCAAAAGTTGATTTTCTTTTAATAAAGTTTTCCAAAAGTTGAAAAATATTCATAATTATAAATTTAAGGAAAGGCTAAGGAAAAGCTAAATAATTTGCCTTATTTTTAAATAGCCTTATTTTTAAAAAGCCTCATTTTTGCCTTATTATTTAAAATCAAAAAAATAAATATTTTTCAATAATTCTTTATCCTGTGAAAAACATATTAAAATCATAAATATCTCTTGTTTATAAAAAAAATACAAGAAGTGATAAAAAGTATAATAATTTTTTTTAACATTAAATATATTGTAATAAAATATTTTTATAAAATGTTCCTGTATACTATCAAATTCTTTTGCATTTTTTAAAATAAAATAGTATAAAATTTTTTATATAATTTTATTAATAAAATCAGTGAATAATAGAATTAAAAAATAAAAGTAAAATAATATCTAATAAAATTATAAATAATATTGGTTTCTCGGATGAATCCTATATTTTTTCAACAAAATTTCTGATATTTTGCAAATATTACAATTTTCATAATCAGGATTAAAAATTTCGATATTGAAACACTCTTTTAAAACTAAATTTTATTTTAATTTTTATCTATTTAAATAGATAGATATATTTACTTATGCAGAACAAATGAGATTTTTAATTGATCAACTGATTAATTAAAAAATTAAGAAAATAATATGTTAAATTTGATTAAACTTTTGTCTATTAAAGTAACTCTAATGTTTTAGATTTTCTAGATCTAGATTATTTCTTTTAAAAATAATATTCAAAAGAAATAGTTTCATATCCTATATGAAACTATTTATTATTAAAATGATAATTATATGATATAAATGATCATTAAAAATAGATTAGGAGAAATGATTTGATTTATCTTTGGTGTTTTTTAATATGTAATATAGTTTATTTTTCTATATATTTGTTATTATATATATTTTATCATATAAGCAAACTATGTATATTCCTGATGTATTTTAAGATAATCTTTTGGTCTTTGAAATTCGGAAACTATCTTTCGGATAATTGAACTATTTTACTAAATAGTTTGAATGACTCTAATCTTATATTTTATAAGAACTCTAGCGATGAAAAAAGGAATTATTCTTTCTTTCTTCCTTTCTTTTTTTCTAATATCAATTAAAAATCTTATCTAATATATTCCGTATAAGTGAATATACTACTATACTAGAGATTATCTACAGCCATAGTTTTATTATTGGATTTATAATAATATTCTTAGTTTTGATTATACAAACTGCAATATTTACAAAAACATTGGCACATTATTGATAAAAAAAATACGAGATTTATCCCGAAATTAATATTATATATTGTTATATTATTTTTAGTTAATAGTTTTTTTTTTTTTTTTTGCTTCACTTTCCATTGCAATAATTGCAGAGAGAATTATTCATTCTTATTCATTCTATAATTAATCATTATTCATTATTCATTATAATATAAAATTCATTGTATCCAGTTTTCTGACAATAATTGAAAATTTGAATTGAAGATTGAATTTTTGATAATAATAAAGAAAATAAATAAGTATGTTATGATTTATAATGATATAAAACAAATTTTAATATTAAAAATAATTGAAATAATATAAAATTTTTAAAATAAAAATTTATAAAATTTATAAAAAATTTATAAAAAAACGATTAGAGTATATTTAAATTCTTATATATAAAATGACTTGCTGTAAGTTAAGTAAAATGTTGACAAAAAATTTATTGACAAAACAAGAATGATATTTAAAGAAATTATACATTAATTTTCAAAATAAATGTATTAATTTATCACAAATTGAATTTTTTTATTACATATTACAAATTAGATATTCGAATCTTGTTTTGATAATGTTTTGTAATTTATATTGCTAAAATAATAATAGAATATTCCATAAATAACTATATTACAGCTAATATTTTTTTTCCTATTTCTATTTATTACATTTATTATGTATATTTTATTATGCGTATTTTATATAGGTACTTTTTATTTTATATATGAGATCTTAATATATTCATCTTTAGTATATTTTTGGAAAATCAATTCTAGAGATCAAAATAAACATAAAAATGGTATTATAAACATATTATAAAAATATATCAGTCGAAATTTATTAAGTTATAATTCAATTTAGATGAAACACAAATAGAATGAAATGCTCAATCTTTATCTCATTACCGTATCATCTTACTCTATTTTTGTCTGTTTCATATAATATAAATTATATTATATAATTTTATATATGTAATAATATATATATGTAATAAATAAATTTCGATTGACATTTTATAGATACAATTTTTTGTTTATTTTAATCCCTAAAATAGACTCTTCAAATATATCACAAATATTATATATTATTATTCATGTTATATTAATATTATATTAATATGTTTTAAACGTATTTTTATTCATGATTTCAAATTTACAATAACATGTTTATCTTCTTAATATATTTTTATTTGAAGTTATACTAATTTGTTTTTAATTTAAATTATTTTTAATCAAATTAATAAAAAACAATTAATGAAAAAATTTTTAAATTTTGTAGTTTTGAATTATTATGATTCATTTTATTATTATCAAAAAATCTTTTTTTTTTGTGATATATGTCTACTAGAATATTTCACATAAAAAATTTGGATTAATCATGTTATAATTTAATCAAAGCATTAAATGTTTTTGAAAAATTTAAATAAATAACGAAATAAAAAATTTTAATTTTTAAAACATTTTCTAAATATCTTTCTTAATATCATAATCTCAGATGTAAAAATATTGTGATATCACTATAGATATATGATAATCTCGAAAACTTATAATAAATTTATAAGAAATATTATTCTGTTGTAATGATAATATAAATATATATATAATGTATGTATAATTTAATATAAATGTTTTAATATAAATTTAATATAAATTTAATTTAATATAAATGTATATGTAATATTAATATAAAAAATTAATTAATAACTTAATTAAAATAAATAATTTTTTATCTTTTAATTTATATAATACAGGTCTGGCATAATTTTTGGAATATATAGGTGAGACTATTGCATGTTGAATGAATGCATATTTCTCATATATCATTAAAAATTAAGCAAAATAGTTAATTAATTTTTTTCATATATTATTTTATTTTTATTTTTGTGGATAATAATTGTATACTAACATTTACATTAAATTATTATGAAATTCGGATAATCGTGAAACGAGACAATCGATATATTAAATATCTAAATTTATAATAAAATTTTAACAATGATTTACACAAAGATTATAAAAAAAAATTATTTTACTTAATATATAAAATATACAATGTAATATTATATAAAAATATAAAACTAATAAACTTAATTTAATAATATTATTTTTATTAATATTATTTAATTAATCATAATAATAATATCATATATTATAATAATATCATATAATCATAAAAAATAACATTAATATTGCATTAATATTGCGTAATACATATACTTATTGTATTTGACATTTGACTATTCCATAATTTAAAAACTAATTATTTATATTTATTATTATTATTTATATTTTTATATTTTTAATTTATATTTTTAATAAAAAAAATCAAAAATTTTTTACTTTCAAGTTCATTTTAAATTTTTAATAAGAAAAAATTATATTTATTCAGAAATAATATTTATAGCATTAATATTCTGATTGATATATATATATTGACTTATTTTAATTTTTAAGATTAATTTTCAAAAATTATGCATATTTTAAAAAATTCTTATTTGAATTTCTTTATTATTAAAATAAAAAAAATAATTCTAAAAAAAATAAACATATTTAATACTTTTCAAATTTCATTAATAAAATGTAATATATAAATAGAGAATATAATTAAAAAAAGAAATTAATATCTTCTGATTGAAAATGAAATTGAAAATAATAAAAATAAATGTCAATGAAATTATCGATAGTCTCGTTCAATAAGTTGCACGTATAGTATTTGGGATAGTAGTTAGTAGACTGAGTCCGGTTTTCACGTTGCTAGTCGCATCAGCATGAATACAAAATGCAGACATGGGTTATTGGTTTTACAGCTTCCTTTAATACTTGACCAACTTCGATCTGGGCTCAGTCAATTGGGTAATAGATATGGATAGGAATGGCTTAACCTTAGTTATCAGTTATATCGTTGTCCGCAGAGGGCCGTAATCAGGATTTGGACATCAGCAAGGTTGGAATTAGAGTAATGGATGAACTAGTAAAGCCCCTAAATGAAGTGCAGATCGATGATACGGAATTTGCTTGCTTAAAGGCCATTGTTTTTTTCGATCCGAGTAAGTATAATAATTTTATAATAACTTTTATAATAATTCAAATAATATAATTATTAATATGAATTTAATATATCAATTTTTTTTATATTTATATATCTTTTAAATTATTATGAATTCTATTTTTTAATGAATGTATATAATTATTATACATTATATATAATTAATATATAATATATAATATATATAATTAATGAATAATTATCTTAATTAATAATAATCATACCAATAACAACTTAATAAATATTATTTATATAATAATGTAATAAGTAAACATATCACAAAAATCTTGAAATTATTAATTTTGTACAATGAAAAAAATAATAAATAATAATTTCAAGATATAAATTTTCTATCTTAAAGTATAAAATAAGTTTAAAAGATAATAAACAAATTAAAATATATTATCTTAAATTTATTTTAAGAAACTGATCATTTTTTGTTTTATTAATATATTTTAAATATTATATTTTTAAAGGAAATGAAACCATTGATGAAAACATAATTATTCGATAAATAATAATTTATTGATGTATTAAATTCTTTATTCCTTTTTTTCTATTTACTTAATCTCCATTAAATTACCAACTTTTGCTCTACTATGTAAATAAAATTCTTCATTCTTAATAACTAAATCATGTATAATACTCAAAATGCAAAAAATGAACGTGAAATGCTTAAAAATTTTTTTATTGTCAAAATTGTCAAAAACATAAAAATGTCTTTTCCGTTTTTTTATATGTGTTTTCTTTATATATAAATATGAATAATTTAACGATCAATTTTAATAGCACAAATTTCTAAAAAAATTTAATAAAATGATTAGTAAAAAATTTTAAATAGTAAAAAATAAAATTGACAGAATATATTCTTTTATATTTTGCAATATAAATTAAATTATTATAAAAAAACAAATAGATTATGTAGCTGACAAATAATCAGATACCCAAAACAAACTTTTTTCGTCTATGTATATCTTTATCTAAGAATCTCGATAATCTTTGATAATATCTCATTGATTATGTCAATTTATATAAAATTTGTATGTCAATGAAGATTTGCCGGCACGCGAGAACGATTGTCTCAATAAGATTTAATTGATGATCGGCGTTGTTCAGCGTTGCCATGCTGAAACAAATGATAAACGTGCAAACTTGCTCTGTTTTTTTATCTTACTTCCGACTTATAATAATATGATACAAGTATCGCTTGCATAATTTATTTTATTTTGTTCGTTCCTGTTGACATTATTTTCAATATTATTATATATATACTTGATTATTTGATTAAAAATGCAGAAACTTTTGTTCTACATTATTTAATTTAGAAAATAGTATTTAAATTAAAATATGCAATAAGAACACGAAATCTTATGTGTTATGTTTTTTTTTTTTTTTTTTTATAAATCAATTCATTATATAAATTTAATGAAGTTTATATAACATATTAATTTATTCGTGAACCATCTTTAGAGAATCGATTCTAAAAATTGAAACAAATATAAAAATTTGTATACAAAAATTAATTATTATTACGATTAATTATATTACGATTATTTATTAAACTACAAGTAATTAAAATTTGCGTTAAATAAAATAAGATATAAATAAAATGAAATCGTTCTTAAATCTCTATCTTCGTTTCATCATTATTTCTCTTTTCGCTTTATCCTCTTCTTCATTTCATTTAATATGAATTTTGTACATAAATTATTTATAACTTAATAAATAAATCTCAACAAATTTAACATTTTTATATATGAATTTTTTTTAATTTATTCTTTGGGAATGATCATAATATGTTATGTATACACGAACATATATATATGTTCTTAAATTCTACTTTCAATATACTATATATATATATAATTTTGAAAATTTAAAAAATTTTTTTAAATATTTCGTCATTTATTTTTTTTATTGCATGTTAAATATTGTTATACTTTCACATTATTTTATAATATTTTATATTATATTTTGAATTTTCTTTGAAATGTCTGTAATATAAAAATATTAGAAATTTTTAACAATAAAAATATTAAATTTTAAATTATATTTTTATAATTATTAATTATAATAATTACTGATATAATATTATTATTTATTATTTATGTAATATTATTATAATATAATAATGACATTTTTTAATATTTTAAATTAAATTTAATAATTAGTATTATAATAAAATAATATTATTTTTCAAATATATATATATAATAATATAAATTATCATATATATAATTATAATTCTATAATGTAATCTACAATAAAATTTTTAATTTTTTTAAAATAACAAAATTATATTTAAAAAAATATTATAGCTAATATTATTAAATACTATTATGTAATTAAATATTAAAATTATATAACAAGATTTATTTATTTTTTGATTTTTATATTTTTATCTTTATATTCATTATTTATTAACTTATTTTGAAACATTTTATACTCTTCATAAATATTATCTAAATTAAAGTCTTCATTTTTAATTTTTTATTTATATATATGAAAAATTTTGTAATAAATTTAATTTTTTTCAAATAATAAATTTCATTAATATCTTTTTTGATCTAAAACTTTTATTTTTTCTGTTAATAGATGCAAAAGGCTTAAGTGAACCACAACGAATCAAGCAGTTGCGTTATCAAATTCAGATCAACTTGGAGGATTATATAAGTGATCGACAATATGACAGTCGTGGCCGGTTTGGTGAGATCCTTCTAACCTTACCAGCTCTGCAATCCATCTCTTGGCAAATGATTGAACAAATTCAATTTGTCAGACTATTTGGAGTTGCACATATTGATAATTTGCTGCAAGAAATGCTTTTAGGTGGTGCAACAGCAGAAATAAATGGTGTTGCAACTCCAATTCCAATTTCAAATGCTTCTGGTAGTTATGTAAGCAGCAATGAAAGTCCAAGTAGTCCTTTGACTCCAACCAATGTACCTCCATTAAGTCCTCAAGATCATATGTTGGCTAGTGGAAGTCCTGTTATAATTTTGAGGGATCTTACACCTATTCAGAATCAAGAAGATGTAACTAGTGTAACTGGATTTAGAATGTTCAAACAAGAGCCTAGTCTTGAAAGTGAATCAACATTTTAAAATATTATAATTTAAATATTATAATTATAATATTATAATTAAATATTATAATTATACATTTTAAAAGTTTTTGAGATATTAAACATAATTAAAAGAATTTGAAGCATTTATAGAGTGAACTCCAATCTTTACAAATCTAAAATATTTATGCACAAATGATTTTAAAATGCTGTAAAAATCTCAAAGAACTTTTAAAAAAATTTGATGCAAAACAAATTAAGAGATTAAAATTTGTGAAAGAATTAATGAAATCTTCATATTTTTGAGAAATGAAAAAAATTTTATCCTGTAAAAATATATAGTTTATATATATTTTTATATTTTTAATATTTTAGATAAATAATAAAAGCTAATATTATATAAAAAAGAAATGAATACAACTATCAAGAAATTGAAAAGAATTTAATTTTTGTTATTATAAAATTTTTTTTTTGAATATTCAAATGAAATTTAAATATTAAAAATATATTAAAACAAAAGTTTTAAAAGAATAATAAAAAAAAATAAAAAGAGATAGAAGAATTTATATATTTTTATAATATCAATTAAACAATTTTTATAATAACTTTAAAAATATATGATGCAAAGTTAAAAAATTTAAATATTAAATAATTTTAACAATTTTTTTATTTTGAATAAAATACATAAGATTTCTATTAATTCTTCAAGATTATATTATTTGAATTTTTCTTTTTTTTTTTTTTTTATAAATAATTTCAAGACATAAATGAATTTCTTTGAATGATAATATTTTTCCAAATATTTATAATTCAAACAAATTAAAAAAATTTATTAAAAATATTTAAAAATAATAAATAATACGAAGGATTATATCTTCAAATTTTAAAGATCTCGAAAACTATAATAAGATATTTTTGTTATCAGAATTCTTACAAGATTCCAGAACTAAAAACTAATTTTTTAAAATTGTTTCTAATTTTTTAATAAAAAACTCAGTTTATTAACGATCTCTAGTGATATTTTTAGCAATTTTTAAATACTAGTGATAATCTTAGTAAAGATACAAATAAATAGAATTTTTATTTACATATTATGTTTTACATATATAACATATATATGTGTGTATATATATATATATATATATATATATGTATATATATATGTATATATACATTTGCTATTTTTTAAAACGGTGCAATTTAAATGATAATCTTTAAAAAGTTTTATTAAATTTCATATTCATATTCATTGTATATGTTCAAAATAATTTAATATAGTTTTGTTTATAATTTAACAAAAATTTTCAGAAATAGACTAAGGACATCAGAAGTGTTATCAAATTTCTGATTGTTGAGTAAGTCATGCTCAATCAATTGCTCAATTAATCTTTAATCACAAATTAATTATAAAATAAAATCAAAAATCGGTCGATTGAAAAATAACATTTTTTTATTATTAGGAACTTAATCTAAATATATAATGATATTAATTTATTTCTTATTATATAATATTTAAGAATCATATTTGATAAATGTTATTAAAATTATAAAATAATTTTTCTTTGAATTTATTGTTTTAATATGAATTGTCTTTCATATTATAAAAACATTATATTTAATGAAACAAAATATTTTTTTTTAATTTTTAATTTCTTTAAGAACAAATTTTTTATTTAATTGAATCTTATTTTTTACAATCAAAATATTATACAAACAATCGACCACTAATTAAAATTATCATGTAATTTAATTATTATTATTATAGAAAATAAGTTTATTGTTATTTATACAAAGGGTTTATTAATTATATTATTTATAATATATTCTTACAAAGAATATTTTTGTTATTGTAATAAATATCTTGTTATTCCTATTATATAGCATTGTATTATACATAAATATTAATTATAATAATAATTATTTTTATAAATAATTCTCAGAAATTAAACATACACTTCAAATATTTGAAATTGATATTAAACATTAATATATTATATATTTTTCTAATACTTCAATAAATATTCATTTAAAAGATTCAACAAAATTTTAAGCATTGTATTTATATATATAATATTTTTTAAAATCATAATTTATATTTGCATATTCATTTTTATTAAAATAATTCATTTTAATATTGTCTGCAAAAAGGGTACAAACATTAATTATTATTATTGCACAATGTATTTTTATTTAAACAGTAAAGTGCCAATATAAAATATATATATAATTTGCATAATGAACTTATTTTAATTATAACTTAGAATTTTATCAAAAGCAAGATTATTCATTATTGTTATTTTGTTAATCAAATAATATATTTTAAATTTATTAAATATTTGCATCTTAATATCATGCATATTTTTTATTTCTATAAAAAATAAAATATTCTCTTTATACAAAACTAGTTTAGATATTTCTTTAATATACGTATAATATATATATAATATTAAAACCTAACATATTTTTTAATTAATATATGTAATTCAAATAAAATGAATTACATATTTATTTGCTATTAAAATTTCAATTATTTTTTTCAAATGTATATCATTCAGATCACAAAAACAACATTTTATATTTATAATAACTTTATATATAATTATATATATATATTATATATAATTTATTTGCTATTAAAATTTCAATTATTTTTTCAAATGTATATCATTCAGATCACAAAAACAACATTTTTTATTTATAATAATTTTATATATAATTATATATATATATTATATATAATTTTATATATAATATATTAAAAAAATTTATTTAAAAAAATGATAAAAATATTATATTATTATATTATATATTATTAAATATAAAAGAGAGATGGAATGAAAAGTATTGAAAGAAACATTGTAAAAATTTCAAAAATAAAAAATTTAACCACGACAATCATTTTTCTATTTTGTAATAATATTCATGCATGAACAATCGTATGCATGATTCAAATCGTTATCAATTTCATAACAATAATGCAGAATTTTTTTAATACCAAAAATAATATTTTTAATAGTATTTTGAAACATTTTAACGAATACTATTATTAATTTATTTATTATTGTATTTGAAATTATTCATTATTATTATTTGAATATTATTTGAGTATTTATTTATGATTACATTTTGTTTAATATTTTAAATTGTTGATTAAATTTTTAATTCTATTACCAAATTTATGATAGAGATATAACAAAAATTTATGTATAATTATATATATGTCCATTCAACTGTTCTTTTCAAAACCTTACAATTCTAATTTCATCTTATTATTCTAAATGTACTTATTTTATGTTAAGGAATTCTTATTTTAAACATTTGTCCTCACTTTTTTCAATCATTTAAAATCATCATTTCGATCACATAAAATCATCTAAAATAATGTTAACTTAGATAAAATATAAAAATCTGAAATAAATCAGAAAAGAATAATAAAATCGATTGCAAAATTTTCTTATGTGTTTTTATTAATTTTGATTAATTTAAAAATTATATTTTACTTTTGATTAAAAAGTTATTTTTTGTTTTTTAAATAACATAATATTTATATTAATGAAACCGAATATATTGTAATATATATATAACCGAATATATAATAATTTTAATATTTGAAGAAATAATTAAAAAAATATTAATATTATTTCATTGCATATACATATCATCACATATTTCATTCATAAATTCTTATGTTTTTAATACAGTCAATTTATCAAAAAAATATAATTTTTTAAACAATGAAAAATAGGATAAATAAATATTAAGATAATTTTAATAATACAATATATTATATATTTTATATTGAATAATAAATTAACTTTTATAATATTGTCAATTAGAAATTTTTTAATTTTTTTATATTTTGTTCGAACCAAAAATATTTGTTTCATTCCACTTCCTCCTTATATCATTTAAAAGAATTTATAAAAGACATTAAAAAAAATTGGGATAAATTTAAAAGCACCAAAAATTATTAATTTCTGTTTACATGTTTCAATAGCATTTGGAAATAGCAATGAGAAAAAATATAAATTCTACAAAATCATATTGCTACATATAAATGCTACAAAATCATATTGAAATAATGTTTAAATTCAATGTTAATCCAATATTAATCCAAAATTATTCTTATTCTTTCTACCGTGTTTATTTTATAAAAAATTAAAAAAAATGTCAGGGATTATAAATTTAAATTAAATTTGATTTCAATAGATAAAAATTTAATCAAATTTAACAATTAATATATCTCATTTAGAATGAATACAGAAAAATTAAAAATCTGCATTAGCTGTAATCCTGTCAGCGAATCAATATAAAGTATCCATTTGTCACCACTACAGATGACGTAATTATATAAAAAAGTTTGCGGAACTTCTTTTCATTACAATAAAATAATATATATATATACAAAATAATATATATATATAATATAAATAAAATATTATATATATATTTTTATATTATATATAATTTATATATATATAAAAATAAACAATATTTTATTTAATCAATTTGCTTATAAATAATTCTATTAATTATATAATATTACATATAGAGTGCTTTTGAAACGATCATCTTGATTTTTATCATTATTATCATTCGCAATGATAATAAATAATTAATAAATATTTAAATAGAATTGATTGGTTATTAGAATTGAATGGTTTCGAAAGATATATATTGTTGTTAATATTTTTTTTATAAATAGACGTGTTTATTTTTATTTATTTTTTAATACATTATTTGATGCAGCTCGATCTTTATAAAAAAGTATTAATCTATATATAGTATAAAAATTTTTATTATTTTAAAACAGATCTGAACAATTTTTTTCTCCGTTATTGCTTTAATATGTTCAGTATTTCTTCATTACTAATTCATATCCTTTTATCTTGCGTGATAAATATACATATAATAATATAAATATACATACAATAATGTCCTAGTTGTCATATTTTACAGAAGTGTGATGAGAAAACCCATGAAGAGAAGAATCGCATATAACTCGTGAGTCATCAGTTATTCAGATCTAGTTCAGAATATTATTTGAATCTATGAGTATTATTAAGTAAATATGTATGTTCTCGAATTGAAATTCGGATTATAACAAATTATAAAATTATAAAATTATAAAAATTAGAATTCATAAGTCGCATAATAAAAATTTTGGTTTATCAGATATTTTAATTTGAATTTTATAAAACTAATTATATAAATAATAAAAAAACAAGAAATATTCACCTGTTTTTGTCTTTTGTAATAAATTTTAAAAAATTCAAATTAAAATATTTCCTAATAATTTTAAGATTAATAACTTCTTTATGTACTTCTTATGTGGATTAATAATTTTTATGAATTTTATGAATTAATAATTTTATAAAGAATGTCGAATAGTAATACATTAAAAATACGATATTTAGAAAAATGAAATTGATTTTCATATGATTTTTATGTATTTTATATATGTAGAAAAAATTAATAATTCCAGAATATAAAATTATTACTAACCATTCAATGTAGAATCTCAATTAAATTACAATTCGAATAGAAAGATTTTTAGTAATATAACATCGTTTTGAAATATAATAGGAAATTATTTCTGAATAATTCACATTTTATTAAAATTAATTATATATTTTATAAAATTAATTATAACTTATTAAATATATTTTTTTTAAATTTAGGAAATTAAAAATTTTTAACAGAATTATTTATAATAAATAAACTAATCACAAATTAAAATATAGTTTTTTTTGTTTTTATTATATAATTATATATATAATTATAAAAAAAAATCTGAAATTTTTTCCACATGATTGTGTCATCTGTATAATCATTGACTCATTTTATTAGACAAGTATTATGCATTTTTAAAGATATATAATTTCATAAATTTCTAAAATTAAAGTTAATTTTTTAATTTTTCTTATCAAATTCTACAAGAAGACTTAAACAAAAATATTAATATTCTTTAATATTCGAAGATAAAAATCTAAATTTGAAATTTGTTAAATTTTAATATTAAATAATTTTTTAAGAATTTTTTTTCTACTTTAGTGCACTAATTTTTTATTTTAGAAAATATAAATATGTATATTTACTTGAAAATAATAAAATTATTAAAGAATTTCATTCTCTTGAGGAATTCTTTTTTTTTAATTTAATAGATAATAATAATAATAATTATATAATAAAAATTTAAAAAAAAGTTTTTTAAAATTAATTTTTATTTGAAAATTATTTTTTTTTTATAAAATATAATTCTATTTTTCAACATATATGATCAATTAACAATATTGATAGAATATTCATAATTAATTGAATTAAAATACAAATATTTTAACAATTTTTATATACAATATATAATATAATATAATATATAATTATATTAATATGTATCTCAAAATGTGTATATATATATAAATTGTAAATTCTCGAAAATGATAATTATTATATATGCAAAAGTGATTAAATAAAAAGAAAACAAACAAACTAAAATAAATTTTTGCATAATTTGTTTGTGTTTATTTTTTTATAGAAATACATGTATTCATTAAATATATTATTATTTCTACTTATATCAAATTAAACGGAAAATCAAAAATCCATATTTTGATCATTATTTAATTTAGTTAAAAAAAAAAAATTGATTAATTTCGAAGAAAAATCGAATGAATTGCTATACTTTCTATATATATATATATATATAGAAATTATAGCAATTCATTTGATTATAAGATATATATATATCCTTTCTTTCTATGAAAAAAATGTCATGAGAAGTCATCTTTATAAATATTATTTATAAATATTATTTTATTTCTCTTTGATCAATCTATATATATAATGAAGCTATGATACTTTGATTTTATTGATTTTTAAATATATAATATTATATATACGATTTTAAATAACTTTTTCTTATGTACATAAAATATAATTATCAATCGATTTTAGTTTTTGAAATATTTATAAAAAAATTTTGTCTGTTAATTTTATCTATATATATACTTTTTGAATATATACATATTCATGATAATATTAAATAGGATTATTATTATACTTATTATACATTACGATGGCCAACATTCAAAATGTATTTCATACTTATAATTATATTATTTTAGTTATTGTAATTTCAGTCATTTAAAGCTTATTTTATATTTTATTTTCGAAGTTTTTAAATTTAATATAAATATTCGGTAATTTTCAAGAAATGCCTAAACTTCAATGTAGCACTTATTTTTAGCAAATATCTCAAAAGCTAAAAATAATCGATGATTATATATATAATCCTATATATATATTTATATATATTCTATATATATAATTATATAATCCTATATATATAGATCTTTTCCTAATATATATATATACAAGTTTAAAATATATATATATACAAATTTAAAATCTTATTCTTTATAACATATTTAAAAATTATCAGAATCCATGACATCATATATTGATTTATTCTATTTCCAAATAGTTACACTCTTCCAAAAAAATATTGTCAAGAGTAATAAATTTTTCTCGAAAAACTTTATTTTCTACAAAAAATTTTGAAACAAATATTAAAATAGTAAAATAATAACAGTAATAAATATTTAATGTATGTAGATAAACAATAAACAATAAATCATATGTCATATTTTAAATAACTTCGATGATGAGAAAAATTTTTTAGATGTATATAGAAAAAATTTAAATAATTATAAGTGATTTTGAATGACTTTCAAAGACAACGATAATCTATAATATTTGTAATATTTGTTATAATATTAATAAAACATATAGTTTTATTTATAATATTTTTTAATATTTATTTATAATAAGATTGTTTAAAAAAATAAAGATCATTTGAGATTGAAAATATGTCTTACTTATAAAATGTGCACACAATAAGTATATGAATAATATATAATTTAGAAAATAAATGCGTAGATGAATTAAAATAAAATACTTTATATCCATGTATTTACGAATTTATTATTTAAAACATGTAATGTATTTAAATTTAAATTTTAAATTTAAAAACAAAAACGTATTTAAATTTTTATTTTTAGAAACATTTTAAATCCAATTAATTTTTTAAAACATCAATTAATGGCATTAAAAATCATCAATAATTTTTTTGTAATATAAAAAATAATAAATATAATTTATATAATTATATTTATTTTGATTTAAAAAATTATCATAAATATAATTATGACGACAATTATGGTATAATTAAAACGACATTAGATAAGTGGGAATCTATTGTATTTTTATTCTTAAATTTTAGATTTATGTAATATATTATATATGTAATGTATATATGTAATATATGTAAATGTATATGTATATATACATTTATATATGTAATTTATGTATATGTAATATGTATATACATATATATATATATATATATATATATATATGTATTATATGTAATGTATATATTATATATGTAATATATATATGTAATATATGTAAATGTATATGTATATATACATTTATATATGTAATTTATGTATATATATATATATATATATATATATATATATTATATGTAATGTATAATTATCTTTAGCCTTAAATTTTTTTCAAATTATTTTTCATAAAAATAAAATTATTTTAAATCGATTTTCAATAGCATTCTAATATTTCGTATATATGAAAAATACAATCTAAAAATATAAAATCTAATTCCATCAATTGAATATTCCTTGAGATGTATTGTCCGTTGATATATATTTTTTAAGTTTTGTTTACTGAATATAGTTTTTTTTTCCAAATTCTAAATTCTATATGTTCTTGTTCATTTGAAAATAAAACTATTGCATTCTAAAGAAATTGTTTCTCACAAATTGATATGTTAAAAAACATAGTATTTTATAAATAACTCAATTACGAAAAAAAATCATTACATTTTATCTAGAAATATATTTATTTTCAAATAATTATCTTTTAAAATACTGTAAATAATTCAAATTATTTTTTTCACTATTTTTCTAATTTTGTATTTAATTAAATGAAATATTGAAGACTATTTAATCTTTACAAATTACATATATAATTTAAATATATATTAATTAAATATATAATTTAAAAATTAAAATAAATCTATCTTACAAATCTTACAATCTATCTTATAATTCTTATAAATCGAATTTATTTATCTTTATATAATAAATAATAATTTAAATGAAGTTAGAAAAGAATCTAAAAAACTAAAAATTTCATTCATTATCATTATCATTATCATTATTTATAAATAAAGATAATTTTTTTTAATTTATATATTGCCAATTATATTTTTTACCAATTATCATTTATTGTACTTATTATAAATTGAATTTTAACTACATTCATATATAAATTTTCAAAATTATTAAGCGTTTTCAATATAAAGTTCCATAACTTCTTAGCAACTTCTTCTTTTATATTGATTTTTCTTCTTTTTCTTTAAGATATTATAAACAAGAGTATACATTTTTTATATCTTCATAATAACGATGATTATTTACTTATATATATATTCCAAAACAAATAGCACTGCATAAAATTCATTTATGAAAAAATGAAGAAACAATCCTTCAGATCGATTTTATTCGAATTATTACAAATTCGAGATACAGATTTAACACGAATTTAAATCAGATTTGACAAATCTGCAAAGTAGTAAAACTGATATAAATGATAAATGATAATAGCTGAAAAGGTGACAAAAAAATCTCGTCTTTTCTTAATGAGTAAATAAATTATAAACAGATTTTTTCATGATCTGTCTTTTATCAATATAATTAATATAATCAGGTTTTTCTTTTTTTTTGATAATAGCACTTATTAAATATATATATGAAATGTTATCATTTTTGTTAAGAAGAATTGAGTTATTTAATCATAGTAAAAAATGTTTGATGATTCTAGTGAATGTAATGAAAATAATTCTATGTCAATAAATAATTTCAATAAAATAATTACAAAAAAATTTTTATCATATAATATCAAATTGATACATAATGGACATTGATATATAATATATATTTCCAAATTATATTATAAAATATTATAGAATAATATTTTCCATATACATTTACAATATAATAAAAAAATTTTTTAATATAACAATAATTGTAATATATTGTAAAATATTTTGTTTTTTTTCTCAATTTTTTTCTCTTATTATATACAAATTTTTTTATTCTACAATATTTATATTTTTAATCAATTACTTTAAAACTCAATAAGAACATTATTTTGTAAAAAATTAATTTTATCAATTTCAGTCTTTTTTTTTTTATAAAATAATGTCACTAATTAAGCTCAAATTGTGCACGTTTTCGTTTTTTCAAGTTTGTTGTAATTTCAGAAGAAATAATGTTATTTGTATCTCCTTTTAACCATTCTAAAAGCCGAACTTTAGCTTTTCGGCCGATAAGAAAAAGATCTCTTTCGAGACGAGGAAGTTGATTTGCTAATGTAGGATCAGATATTGGATTTTGAGCCCAGTCCATAATTAATCGAAAACGAGATTTAAATGTCTGAAAGTAAAAAATAAAAAATTTATATATACTTTCAAGAATATTTAAAATAGTAATTATGCACAAAAAGCATCATCTTAGTGATTTTAATGATATTAAAATATGTTATTTTTAATAATATTTTGAACAATTTTTCTCTATAGATATAATTATTACTTTTATTTAGTTTTTGAAATATTTACAAAAATGATTCATATCGTATTTTTAAAATTTGATATAAATTTGAGTGCATGAAATAGTTCAATTTAAATTATTTTCAATTTGAGTTAAAGTTAAATTTTAATTTAAATTTAATAAATAAAAAAAAATAATTACAAAAATAATTACAATTCATAAAAACAGTATACAAGTTTACTTCAACTATCTATCTATATAATATATATAATAAATGTAATTTCTAATATTTGAAATCGATGCTGATATAAGTAGTCATACTTAAATCTACAATTAACATTAATTTTGTATTACAATTAACATTAATTCAATAAAAAAGATAATATCTTATTATGTTCGGATTCTAATAATCGATATAACTCTGATAATAATCGAAATATAACTCTGAAATTTTGTTTCTTACTCTTAGTTATTGATTATAATAAATTATGGAGCAATTGAAATAATCAAGAAAAAGATATGATTCTATGGAATAATAACAGATATATAATTACATGTTTTATCTTGAGATTATCACGTAGATTTATCAAACTGACAATATTGTTTTAAATATTAGGAAATTTAAAATATAATACATAAAATATAAAATATATATATTTAAAGAAATATTGATAAAATCGAACATTTATAAAAAAAGTAACGAGAAATAAAATCTGACGGTTGATATATAAAATATATCATATATAAAATACAAAATATATCATATATATATAAAATATATCATAATAAAATATCTGGCTCCTATACATGGAAAAAATTACCAATCTAAAAGAAAAATTTTGTTTCATCTTTTTATAAATTAATTTTGATTAATCTAATAAAATGATGCTTCTAATAAAGACCACTTAAACTAAAATAAAATTCTAATACACAAATCCAATATTTTAATTTGAAAAATGTTAAAAAATTACATAATATTATTGAAAGATCTTTTATTAATTATTTGTTAATCAAATTTTAATATGTAATAGTTCTTTTAAAGATTAATCAAAGAGATAATCTCTACAATATAATATAATTAATTGCTATTATTCATATTAAATCTATATTTTTATAAAATTCAAATATTTAATTTCATTATATTATTTTTTAAATTCAATTGTTGAAAAAAATAACAGAAAAAATAAGTTTTATTTTTTTTAATAATATTTTTAAATATACAATAATTTTAACAAAATTAAATATGCAGAATGAGAATCCCTTAAAATAAATATTGTTATGTACTTGTTTTATTATAAAATTTATTATAGAAAAACTATGCCACATTATAAGATATATAACAATTGATTTTCATTTGCTATTTTGCATCAATTTTTACAATAGTTCTAAAAAAAAAGAAACAGATTTTTTTCGGCAAATTATTATAAATTTATAAAAAAAATTTTTTCGGGAAATTAATAGTATAGTAAATCTTATTTTATTTTATTAAATATAAAATAATTAATGAATTTATGAATTTAGAGGATATACTATGAAATAAAAGCAGTCGAAAAGAAAAAATAAAAAAAAAAATATATAATCTAGCAAATATAATGAATATAAATATTGGCACAGTATGTTATACACACAGTATACAAATATTAAAAACTATTGATAAAATTATTTAAATCATCTTCTTTTTTGTATATATCTTTATTTAAATTATTTTATCTGTCTATATACAAAAAAAAAATTATAAAATTATAGAAAAATATAGAATAGAAATTATAAAATTATAGAATATAAAATTAATAAAAATATGTTTTATAATCATCTTATACCTAGATAAAAATATTAGCACGTATCGTAAAAATCTATATTTATATATTTTATTTTACCTATATTCTTCACATATATTAAAACAAACAAAAAAACTAATAATTTTACTTATCTTTATATTATTGTAGAAGTTTATGGGTAGTTTTAGATTAAAAAATATGAAACAAAGAAAAAGAAATTATGTCGAAAGAAAAAAGAAGAAAGAAAGATTATATTAAATTCGTACGAACAAGATAAATCTTATTCGAAAATTAGTGAAATATAAAAAAATCATTTTATTATTCGTATTAAATATTATTAAAACAAATTGCATTTGCAAGTACATTAAATATTCATAATCATGTATATAATGGCCGTGTAAATTATCGAATAAAGAAAAAAAAAAAGAATATAATTAAATAATATAATTAAAATTTGTAAATAAATTTTTCAGAAATGGCTACAACGATTATATAAGATCATGAAAAAAAATTAATTTAAAAATAGAGCTAAAAAAGAAATTAAAAAGAAAAAAATATTAAAAGAATATTAATATTCTTTTAATATTAAAGATGCAAGATATTCTGTATATGTTATACGAAAAAAATTATTTATTAGCGAATAGAATTTATCAGAGAATTTTAAAATAAAAACAATGAATTTTGAGATCAAGTATTGATATTTTCTAATGAAAATAAGATCATTATTTAAATTAGATAATTGAATATTGGAGGAAACATAATATTATGTTATTTTAAATTAAGTTATTTAAAAAATCTTTAATAGTTAAAAAGATGGTGAAGTATATGAAAGTTTTTATCTGGTTTTGGAAAATTAATATAAATTATTGAAGATTCAAAAAATAAATCTATTTAAACATCTCACAAAATAAACATCTTTTTTGTATATAAACAAATAAAATATTTTAAATAAAGATATATACAAAAAAGAAGTGATTTAAATAATTTATTAATAATTTTTATATTTAATATATATTAAATAACGTACTTTATCAATATTTATATTAGTTACTATTAATCAAAATTAATACTTAATATTAATATATTAAAATAGATATTTTTTCAAGACTTGAAAAACTCGAATCAAGAAAAACCCGAACAATGTTAAATTTTGTACAAAATAGGATTCCATAATCAACTATCTAAAAAAAAAAAATCTAATATTTTCAAAGTAAAAAAATTAAAAGATTTCGAATTTGTCAAATAATATATAAATTTTAGAAAAATATAATTTTTTCTGAAGAAATTAAAAGTTAATTAATTATTTACGAAATAAAAATAAAAGTTAATTAATTATTACGAAATTAATTATTTACGAAAAAATATTTATTTGATGCATATAATAAAAGTAGAAACATCCGAAATTTTATAGAAATCATAAATAATTTTTAAATATACAAAGAATCATGATATAGGATTGCATAGCAGCAGATGGAAATTGAATATTGAAAATATTTATGGAGGAAACAATGGAAAAAATGAAATACATGAATATTTTAAAACGAGAATTAAAATCTTCGATTGAAAAATTACAGATATTATTAATATATCATATCATTAATATAACTATTCTACTTTATGTGTTAAAAAATATTTATTTTATAATGATCTTAAATTATTAGAAATATCATCGTCAATCATAGGATCTCAATTTAATAAAATTCAATTCGATTTATGAAGAGAATTAAAAATCTAATTAAAAAATTATAATATAAATAATAATGAAAATATGAAGAAAAAAATAGCAGAAATAATATACAAAAAAATTAATCGAATCGAAAATATATTCATCCGCAAGCACATATAGAAATATGAAACTAGAATATATTATATTATTATTATTATATATAATATGTTATATTATATATATTTTATAATTATAATAGTATAAAAAAATATTAATTTTTTTTAAAATATTTATTTATGCTTAATTTAATAAAAATAAATCATCATGGATTTTTACTAATATAATATTCAAAATATATATTCTTATTTTTTTATAAATAAAAAAATTGTATAAGAAAAAGTTGTTATTCAATTTTTTAAATATAACATAATTCTATAATTTCAATATTCTATAAATATAATTCTAATATGTGTATAGAATATATAGTTAATTTTGCAACTAATTATATCATAAGATTAAGGTCATTATAACTAAATCCTTTAAATTATTTACGATATGAAATATTAAAAATTTTTGCTGATATCTTGAAAACTAAAGCTGTCAATTATAGAGAGAAGTTGTTTAAAATGTTATCTCTTGAAATCAATAAGGATGCTTTTTTTGCAATTATTATAAATTAGTTTATAAATATTATTTACAAATTATAAATTATTTTATCTTAAAATTATTTTAGGATCTTATATTAATATTAACATTAAGCACCTTGACAATTGAAAAATATAAAATATTACATATAATATTATAAAATATTACATTTGTAGAATCATTTCTAAAATTAATTATTTTTTAATTCATCGAAAAGAAATTGATAAAAAAATATATATATAATATTATGTAGTATATATTATAATCAAAAATTATTAAATAAATAAATTATTAAATTTCATATTATGTAAATTAAGAAAATACAATTTTAACATATGTATATATAATTTATATAAATTATATATATAAATTAATTAAATTATTAATTCTTTTCGAAATAATCTTTATAGAATATACATAATAAAAATCTTTACGAAATATACATATATATACATATAATTGATGCTGATTTTATTTTTTATGAACATTTATGAACATACTCAAATCATTGACAATTAAAAAATTTCATATTTTTATTTTGCACAATTACAAAACATGTCATTATTTATTATTTCAAAACTGCACAATATTTTACAAAAATATATATTATTTATTTTATATTATTTATATTTTTAATTTAATGTTTAATTTTATAAGGAAAAATACGCACTAATAATTAAATGTCACAAACAAAAGCAAAAATTAATATGAGATTAGGTATTTAAGTGATAATTTATCATAAAATATTTAATTTTACATCAACAATTTTATATCAACAAAAAATTCAAATTTCATAAAATAAAATTTCATAATTTTTTACAAAATTTATTATTAATTATAATTTAATAAATATTTATTAAAAATATTTAACTAAAAACAAGAAAAACGCAGTAATTATTTTGATTTATTTACCTGTAATAAGCTTTCAGTGATTTGTTCAGAATCTCTATCATTAAATTTTCTTACATGCATTCCTATTTCATAATAAAATGGATTCCACTTACTTAAAACAATAGCATCAGCATCTGCTTCTAAAATTTCCCTAATAATAATAATTATAAATGAATAAAAATAATAGAAATGAATATTACATAGGAAAATTTAACAAAAAATTGATTAAATAATATATATTGATTAAATAACAATTCAAATAAAAATTAGAAATCAAACCTGTATCCTTCTTTATATATATTTGGTACATCAATACTAACTATTGAATCTTTCAGATTCTTTAATGATTCTGCTAACCATAATGGAAATTCTACTTTTGATCCTACCTTTAAATCTCTAGATGTAGATGAAGAATCCAAAAAACCTTAAATGATATATATATTTCAGAAATTATATATATATATATATATATGAAATATTTCAAATTTTTATTTTATCTTTATTTTTTAATATCTAAACTGGTTTTGTAAAATATACTTTATATTTTTTTTTCTTTTTTTTAATAATAGTTTGATAATTTTAAGTTTCTTTAATAATCTTATTAAGATCTTTTAAATTCTTTTAATTGTAATAATATTCTTTAAAAAAAAAATTATAAAAAATTAATCTTTATATTGCATTACGTATTAATAGTAAAATGCTAAATTAATAATATTATTTATATTTATTAATAAAAAATTAAATAAAAAACAAATATAAAAATAAATATAAAATTATTATAAATTTTACATTATCTATTATATATCTATTATACATATAGTTATTCATAGTGTAAATTATACTACATCAATATAGTACATCAATTAAATCTGTTTTATTATATTCAAATTTATATTATAATAGTAAGTAATGAATTGCTTTAAAATAATTTTATAATAACAATTCCAAGATTATTTGGCATTTATATTTAGAATTATCTTCTTCTTTATATAAAATATATTATATTTAATATATAAATATAGACAAATTTAATGTCTATATATTTTATATTTATATTCTAAATATATCAATAATACAATCTAATTTAAATATAAACATGCAATTGTTATTTTTGTGATATAATATTATATTAAAAATACAAAACATTTTGTAACAGAAGTTGTATACTATCAAGAAACATCACAATAATAATTATTTGATTTCATTGTTGAGAGTCTGTGAAGATCACAAATTAAATTTTTAAATGAATATATTTTTTATTACATATTCTTATAATTGAGATTAAAAGTTTTCAAAATATTATATTTTAAAATAATTTACACATATAATCTAGAAAGTAACACATGTAATCATAAAGTCAAATATATATAATAATATATATAATAATATATAATAATATATAATAACATATAATAATATATCATCACTATTTATCATCACATTATATAACTACCTTAGATACATTTTTTTATTTTATAATACTTATAAAAATAATTATATATATTTAAATTATATTGTAAAAATTTTAAAAACTTAATAAATATATATATATATTAAGTTTTTAAAATTTTTGTAAGTTATTACAAATTTATAAATCTATTTATTATTATAAGTGGTATTGAGTAAAAAATTCTATCTTAATAGTTTATTGTATTATTTCTAATAATATTAGTTTCATTTATTTTATTAAGTTAATATGTTACAATAGAGTTTTAAAAATATTGTTATATATTTTTTATAATATTTTTATTAATTATTCTAGTATTTAAGTAATGAAATATAAATTCATTATTACTCATTGTAACCATATTTTGTTTATTATTATATAGTTATATTTATTTTTATAAAATTTTCCTTTGCAACATTCATCATATAAGTGAATGCTATGCTATAATATTGAAGACTTCAAACAAATGGACAATTTAATGTATCTTTTCAGATAATAACAAGAATATTTTTGTTAAATGATTTTGAATATAAAATTAATTATTTTCATGTTTTGTAATGAAAAATAATTTTAACATGATGTTTTGATATTTTATACAAATTATAAAAATATATTAAACTTGATAAATAAATTTTTGTTAATATTCTTATCTTGTTATTAAGTTTAGCTAAGAATTCTGTCAATATATTTGTAATATACTATAATATGTATAATTTCATTATGAATAACTATATGTTAATAAAAAATAATTAAATAGAAATATAATTTACAATTTATAAATTTAACAAATAATAAATTGGCAAAGAAAAAAAGCAAAATAAAAACAAATATTAAAGGAAAATTAAATATTAAATTAATAGATAACTTAACCTCAATAGAAAATGTAATGATATATAAATAATTACCTAAACCAAGCATCTGTATTTCAATTTTACAAGATACCCGTTCTTCAGTAGATAAAATATCATTTAATGCAAAATAATCCGGTGTATAACTTTGACAATATGCCATTTTATAAAAATAATAAATACAAGCGTAAACAATGAAATTATCTAAAATTTAAGTATATTCAATATAGCCAATAATTTATTCTGTCACTGATTTTGCATAGGGACTTAGGGAAAAATAAAAGATTTCTATTATTATATATTTAAATATAAAAATATATATTTTTTTAAATTCTATATAATCGATTTTTCTTTTATTTAAATAATTTTTTTATATTTTTAATAAATTTGAATTTTATTGTACTTAAAAATGTTAATTAATTGTTTTAATATATTTAACACGGATGACATAACGTACGTGCATAGGAATTTCCTATTCTATGACGCATATGGTTGTGTTATAAATTTTTCTAAAAAATGAATAATTTTTTACATATCTGTCTTTTTTTTTATATATGCGTTCAATATAAGTGTTATCGCTAGTATATAGTTATTTTGGATTTTGTTGCATTTTTTATTGTTATAATTATCTATTATATTTACTAAAAATCAATATTCGTCTTCAATTTTTGATACCATATTAAACATGTTAACATTTAATGACGTAAACGTATACATTATTGAGATTTTCTTTTATGGCGGATGACGTGAACGGCACGTCATAAATTCTTCTAAAAAATGTTCCAAACAAATAACTTTCCAGGTATTTGTTTTTTTGTTATATTTAATATGAATGTTCTTATTACATATACAATTGTTTTCGATTTTATATATTTTTTATAGTTTTACTAGTATTTTATTTATTAAAATAAATAATATTTTTTATATTTTACATTTATTTTTTTATTAATATTTCTATTTTATTTATTTATTTTAAAATTAATTTTCCGATTTCCTTATGAATATATTTTCATAATATTTAATTTTACAGTCGTTCCAAAAAGAAAAAGAAGTGACGATGATATTCCTTTATCAAATTCTCAATCATCGACATTTGATAATACAAATATAAAAAATGTCAAGAAGTTTCTGTCAGAAAAAACAATGGTGATATTTTTTTAGATACAGATAGTGATAATAATTCGGATTTTGATTGTTTTATGACAGATGTTTCACAAGAAGAAAGTGAAGAAAGTGATCAAGAAATATTTTTCTCTCGATCTACTTCATCTTAATTTAAATCAGGTACTTCTATGATTATATGGCATCCTCTTCGGCCTATTATTCCAAGCATTTCTTTTATTAGAAATATTGGCCTTTTAACATCTATGCCTTCTGAAGAACCAATATTTCGTTTTTTCGATTTTTTTCGTTTATTAGCTAATGATAAATTATTTGATTTAATATTATGCAAAACGAATATGCAAGGGCGTAAATTATTGCAATCTTCAACTTATCGTAAATCTAGAATAAAAAGTTTTAAAGAAGTAACAAAAGAAGATCTAGAGATTTTTTTAGGATTAATATTTTTATCTGCAAATATTCGAGCTCCCTCTTTTGCCCATTATTGGAAAAAAAATGATTTATATGATATTCCATCCTTTTATACAATACAATCCAATACAATGCCAAGAGATAGATTTCATAATATAATGTGCGTTTTATATTTTTCTAAAAATTTTGAAACAGAACAATCCAAGCTATCAGATCCATTATACAAAATTCGGCCACTTCTTGATCATTTTAATAATACAATGCGAGAAATTTATTATCCTCAAAAAAATTTAAGTTTACATGAACCTATGTCATTATGGAAAAATAGTTTATAATTTCATCAATATGTAAACAATTGTAAACAAAAAATCATATAAATTTAGATTAAAATTTATATGCTGATGGAACCTAATGGACTTGTATTGCGTAATTTAATTTATTGTGGTTCACAAGATCCTGATATTGGAGGAATTGAATATACAGAAAAAATTGTAAAAATGCTGCTTATGGATTTTTTGGGAAAGGGACATTCAATTTTTTTTGATAAATATTATACAAGCATATCATTAGTTAGAGAATTGTTATATAATAATACTTATTCAACTGATACATTAAGTTCAAATAGAAAAAGTAATCCTCTCAATATTATACGAAAAAAGTTAAAAAAGATGAAGTAGAAGCATATTATACTCCTGAAGGTATATGTATTCTAAAATTGCATGACAAGCGAGATATAATAATGATTTCATCTGAATATAAACCAGATCTCATAAATTTAACAATAAAGAATGGTAAAAAAATACAAAAACCAGAGATGGTAGATAAATATAATGATTGTATGAGTGGAATTGATCATGCCAATCAATTTTTAACCTATTATCCATGTGAGAAAAAAACAATTTGATGGTATGTGAAAGTAGCTTTACATATATTTCACGTTATTATGAATAATGCGTATTTATTACATCGACAAAATGCATGACAAAAGATGACATTTTTAAAATTTAGAAAAGCATCATGAATGAATTTATTTATAAGAATAAGTCCCGTTTACATGCAATCTACAAACCAATGAGAAACAATGTTCATTTGCCAACAATATCAGGCCAGGGAGGAGAGAAGAAAATATGTAAAAGGTGTAAAATCTGCTACGTTAAAAGTATAAGAAAAGAAGGATTATTTTATTGTCCAATGTGTCCAGATAAACCAGGTCTCTGTTTTGATAAATGCTTTGCGGAATATCATAACTATACGTAACTATACATAATATAAACATGCGTAATATATTAATTTTATAATATTTCTAAGCATTTCCATAATTATATGAATTAACCCTTTGCACTCCAGGCCTGTTTCGATCGGCCGAACTAGCAATTCCAGACTCAGACTCGCGCATTCGATGCGTTTGGTGGCCTCATAAGATTACCATAAGATAATCATTCATAAGATAAAAGTACACCTCATAAAATTATATGTAAGAGTTTAGGAACCTATTTATGAAGCGATATTCTAAAAAAATCAAACATAAATAAATATTGTCGCCGTTCAAGTTGCCGCAATAATCCCAGTGGTGCCGGAGAGTCACTGCTGGAAGAGTCACTACGGCATTAACTCAAGTGGTGAGCAAGAGTCACCGTTGGAGAGCAAAGGATTAACAAATAAATAAAATATTAATATATATAATATATAAATATATATTAAACATATATTAAATATGAATATGTTAAACAAACAAAACTTCATAATAACAATAATAAATAATAACAAACAATAAATAAATAGTAGTAAATAAATAGTACGTAGTACATAGTAAATAGTACATAGTAAATAAATTTAAAAAAATTTTAATTTTAAGAATATAATGTGTAAAATTTGTTTTTTAAAAAAATTTATTAGAAATAAAAAAAATATTCTTATATCATATTATTTTTTTATATTATTTTAGATTTTTTATATAATTTTATATTGCTTTAAAATTATATTTTTTAAATATAACATAAGGAACGTTATTTTGTTAAAATAAAAAATTACATATTAGGTATGAATAAGTATATATAAGATAAGATAAATCAATAAAAATTCCTTGCTATTGAATTTAAAATATAAAAATAATAAAATTGTTATTTACTAATTTGATTAAAAAATGTCGATATTTTAAATTTTTTATAGATATTATACATAAAGAGGTAGATTTATGTGAAACAATTTCAATTTTTAAAATGGAATCATTTTTTTACACTAATGGGTAAGTTCTTTATTTACAAAAAAATATTCAACTATTTATATCAAAAAATTTTTAATTTAAGAAATATTTTAACTTGAATTTCGTAAAATTTGTCATATAAAAAACAAGGAGATCATGAACAATAGATCTTTGTCTTTATATTTTATACTTTATATTTTATACTTTAAATTTTATAAATTTCAAGTTAAAATATCTGTTAAATTAATGATTTTTGAAGTAAATAATTAATACTTTTTTATAGAAAATATTAAACCAACTGATGCAGCAAAAAATATATAATTCCATTTAAAAAAATGGAATATATGACCTTCGTATATATTCTTACGTATCTATTTATAAAAAAAAATTAATAATATTAGAATAATCTTCCATTCGAAAACTATTCGAAATACTTTTATTTTTATTAATTTTAAAATTCTATTTGAAAATTTTTTTGCTATCAATAATAACAAAAATTAAAGTAAGATCGTAATATCTAATAAACCATTTTTATATAAAAGTTATAAAATATTTATTACATATATTTCATAAATATCATAAATAATACTCATTTGAATAAATAAAAATTTATCTTAAAAAAGATTATATTGCTAAAGACCGATTTATTAAATATTTTTATTAATATATGCGAATTCAATAAATACTTAAATATTTTTTTATTCATATACTTTTGATCTTTATAAATATTTTATAATTCTTATTTAGATTTTTAAATTTATTTTAAGCTTTATTCACACAATTATAATAATCATATCTATTTACAATAGTAATAATACTTAACAAAATAACGAATTTTTTTTATATAACATATATATATTATATAGAATTTTTTTAAAAAATATATATTATATATTATATATTATATATATTTAATAAAAAATCTTTAAATATATTCGAAAATTATTGTACATTATATGTGTAAAAAGAAAAGTAAAATAACATAAAAAAGGATTTTTTAACTATTTCGTGCATTCTTAAAATTTGTTTAGAATTTTTGGATATTAATTTTTTTAAAACTTATATGCTAAAGAAAATATAAATACAACAGTAAATTTGCATTGCATTGCGTTATCTTAAACAGAAAATTCGTTGCGTATCCATACACGGAATTAATGGATTAGTAAATAATTGTAAATAAATAAATGAGTAAACCTTGATGCGATACGCAGATATGTAACAAATAAATAGTCAGATTTGAGGAATAAAAATTAAAAAACTGCATAATATTTATCTTAAAACTTTGAAGTTGTTTATTATACTATACTATACTATATATCATAAAGTATCAATAGATATTTTAATTTATTCAAATAATTTTCAAATTACAATACTTATATTATAAAATATTTTATTTTATTTTTTTTAATTACATATAATTATAAATATATATATAATTATATTAAATACATATATGAAAATAATTATATATTTTATAAAATTCTTTATGATTTATATTCTCATTTTTTTATTGTTTGTTTTTATTATTTTTTTATTGTAACATAATTTTATAAATTATAACATAATTTATAACACAATAACATAATTTTTATAAATTATATTAATATATATATTTTATATTATAAATTATATATAAAAATAAAAAATATATATATATTATAAATGATTCAATATTATATATGTATACATATATGTTTAAATCATATGATTAAAAATCGATCATAATATACATATTTTAAAAATTTAAAAATGTAAATAATATATAATCACATTGTAAATAATTTTAATCGTGAAAAACATATTTATGACATATTTTTTCTTTGTATCTAGGATAATTATTCTATAATCTAAATTTTTAATTTAATTTTTATGAACAATTAATCAATTAAGAAATTTAATTTTTAATTGCTATAATTTGTTAAAATGATCATATTGTAGATCAATAATAAAAATGTATTAATATATTAAAATGTCAATTATATATCAACATATTTATAAAAATAAATGATTATTATTTTTGAATAAATTTATTCTTACACATGAAATAGTGTAGGATGATAATAAAAACCGCTCAACTTTCTTTGTTCGTTTATTTCGACATTTCAAGATGTATGGACAATTATTACATAATAATTATATATATTTATATATATATAATGAGAGAGCATCTTTGTCTTGCAACTTTTCTTTTTTCGTTTCTAAAAACTCCATTGTTGCAATGTAATTTATTCGTTACTCATTCCCTTTCCTTCATCCTCCTCTCTCTGTTTTTTTTTCGCAATAAAAGAATGAAAAGATAAAAGTAAGAAAGAAATGTATTGATTCGTCGAGTTTACGAATCATTTTATGAAATGGTTTTTTTTGGGCGCATTATTTTATCATCATTTTACGATCGTGAATGATATTTCTTTCCACAATGTATTTTTTTTTTTTTTTTTGATATTTCTTTTATATTTTTCTTTTATCCACGTCTCTTATTATCATGTAGCGTTTATCGATAAGATAATCATTACCATTAATCGTTACAATTATGATAATAACACTAGTGTTAGTTACTCCCGTATTTGTTCCGCCCACCAGTCAATCACCACCATGCGGTCACCTACTCCCACTTAAGAATTTTAATGCGGTGCCACATTCAAATATCGAATTACAGTTCATTTTGACGTACGCTGAAATTGTCAATTATGTATTTTATTTTTTTTCTTCATTTCAATTATTTTATCTCCATCTTTAAAAACCCATATTGATACTTTATCAACCGGAATAAGATTATTTGCTTATATTATATTTCATTTTTCATTCTGATGTTCGAATGTTTATTTCATCATTTTTTATTTTTTATTTTTTACTTTTTTATTTTTCCATTATTTTCTATTTTTCTTTTCCTTTCGTTCTTCGTTCGTTATTTTTTTTCTGTCATACACACACACACACACACGCGCGCGCGCGCGCACATTATTTCTCACACAAACATCGCATACATTGTTTGTTTCGTTACTTAATATTCTTCATAATAAGAATTTTATTTCATCTTCGTGAAAAATATTATTTTCGTTTGTTTTAGATTTTTCTTTTTATATTCGGAACATTTTCTTTATTTCCCAATTGTTATTATTGTTTTTTGTTCTTTTTTTCGTTATTATAAGATTTCGTAATTTTTTTGCAATTCATACTTACATATCTATAAATTTTTTTTCATATCTTTTTCGTATTTTTCTTTCTTTTGGTTTCTAGTTTTCATTGAAATTTACAAATCATGAACAGTTATTTTTCAATAATTAGGTGCAACGATCTCTCAATCCGCAATCTGTCTTTTAAACTGTAAATTCAAAATGTGCAAAACATTTCAATATTTAATTAGGCAACCAAATAAGTTAAAAATTGCAGATTGAAAAATTACCATAATCTAATAGCTGAATAAAAATATTTGATACAAAGCAGTATTTGAGTTGTAAAATGACAATTTATACTTTATAGCATAAGAAAGCATATATATATATATATGTTATATATATATTATATATATATATATATATAATCTTTTTTCTTAAAAATCCCTGAATTTCATACTAATAAAATTAATTAAAAAACAGAAAATAGAATGAAATAAAAAAAATACAAATAATTTAAATAAACATAAAAAGAGCAAATGAAAACTAGAATAAAATTCAAATTATTTAAAAAAAGGTCAATGAAAATAAATCTTTATTCCTAAAAATGGCTCTTTTTATTTTTAAAAATTGAGAAGCAACCTTCAAGAAATATTGAGAAATTTTATTAATGATATGAACTGTCGTTGATAATCAGAGAAACACCATAAAAAAAAATAATCTCAAAGCAATTACTGCTATATATAATTTAATTTATTGCATTTATTCTATTCTATAATTGCATTTATTGCAATTATAATTATAACTGAATTACAATTTCTTGATTTGAAATTGCACATTCATTACGTATTACAATTATCTCGATTTCAATCCATTTACAATCTTATATAATTCTTTTCTTTCACTGGTTGCTTTATTTTTGTTGCTAACATAAACATTTATAAAATTTTTTTTTTAATCACTTTTTTTTTAACTTAATTCACAAATATAACCAAACTATAATATGATATAAAAAAAGTAAATATAAAAGTTAATATTTTTAATAATTTATTATTCATTGCTATTAAATCATTGATATTAATTGATATTCATCAATTGATATTAAATCAAATTAAAGTTAATCGTTATGAATAATAAAAATTTTTACTACAAAAAAAAATGAAGTAATCGCTTCTCCATTTTATATTTTATACGAACTAGTACGTTCTCTATTTGACTAGAAGTTCTATGTACGTACTAATTTATACATAATTACGATTATTACATATAGAAATACTTAATTAATTACAATCGATATTCTTAAAATTTATATATTAATTTTTACAATAATATGGCAACGGCGGTGAAAATAATACTATTTTTTTTTTGTTTTTATCTTCTAGATCAAATTAACAATAAAAAATCCAATTAAAAATAATTCATGAAATTGACATATAAAATCACAAAAAGAGAAAAAAAATTAAAATCAAAATTGAAGCAAAGAAAATATTCTTTGTTTTTTTCGTAACTTCTTGTTTTTTTTGTAATCTAAATTACAATAATAATAATATAATAAAAAAATAATAATAGTAAAATTTGTTAATTTTCTTAAAAAAAATTCTATCTTTTGTACATACACATAATTTAGATTAATTAGCATTCGAAAATATTTTTTCTCTCTTCCTCTTTCTCTTTTTTTTTTTATATATCTGTAATTATTGATCTACTGAATTCTTTGGTTCTTTTTGGTCAAATACTTTTCAACGTCGAATTGCAATTGAAATTAAGAAAAAACTTTTAATTTTCAATAACTCATAATAAATATTTATAAAATTTTAAATATAAAATAGTTGTTCAGAATTATATCTTACAATATAAAAATGTCAAGTGATATTTATTTTTATTAAACTTTTCTAAGAAAATTTATACGTGTCTTTTTTATACGTAATCACAATTGCAATTCCAGAAAAGGAAGTGAGTATTAAAAAAAATATATATCTGAATAAAAATATTATATAATAAAGAATGTTAGCATAATATGTGTTGATTAAATATTAAAAAAGGAGAAATAGGAAATAGAAAACTGTATTTGATTGTACATGGAATGTTTCAATCGGCACAATATTCATTTTAGAGCCTATAAGAATTCTCTCGATGAAAAAAGAAGCATGAAAATAAAGCTTAGATTAATTCAAAATTAGAATTTAGTATGAAATAAAAACTTTATCGAATAAATAAAACTAATTAAATATATCTAATTTAATTAAGAAATATAATTATAATGCATATAAATTAAATTGTTCGAAATCAGAAATTCAAGGATCTCAATTTGTTTAAAAGTTTTTCATTTCTTGCAATGTATAAATGTAAATATCTTGCGAATGTTCTATATATTTGTGTAATATGTGCATGTATGTAATTGCATGCAATTGTGCGATCGTGTGCGTAGAATTGTATAAATATGCATAATAATGAAACGAAATGAAATCTTCGATTTGATTTCAATCTTCGATATGAAAGATAATTTGTTTTTATGTATATTTTTATGCATATATATTATCTGTTTTTTCATTTTAGTTCAAATCAAAATAATTTAGAAAGTATTTAACACTTTTGGAAATCGAATTTTAAGATTTCTGCATACTGTTTTGCTTTTTCTTTGTGCTTCTTTTTACTATATTGGTCTTATATATTGAGATTATAGTTTAATTTTATCATATTTCGATTTATATTATTTTAATATTTTTATATAATTTTTTCATGCATCTGATTTAGTTTTCTATCCCAGAATTAATTAAAAATTGAACTGTATAATATTGATATTAAAAAGTGTTCACAAATTTATAAATTATAGATTTACACAAAAATATAGTTAAGTAAATATAGAAATAAAAATAAAATTTTTTTCTTGATTTGTTATGTGCGACTGATATGCTTGGCAATAAAATAATATACATATTTAATTAGAGTTAAAATATTTGAATAATATTATTATATTAATATTATTATATTAAAAAAAGATTGCATATTATATTGTAAATCATTATTTCCAGATAGAAAATTATAAAATTTATTACTAAAAATTATTTTAAAAATTATTTTCTTTTCAAAATTTTTTAATTACTTAAATTATTAAAGAAAAGCCATATTTATTTTGAATATTTTGTAAACATTGAATTTTGTGAAACAATCAATAATAATTCAAATAATATATTAAACAAGATATTTCATTTAATTTAATTTTCTATCTAAATAAAAAACTAGCTACTGTAATATCTTATATTTTGGTTTGGAAATTTTTCGTTGCAAGCTAGCCGTTGCTATCTTTACTAGTTCTTGAGAAAATATAGAGTCTATCTAATTTAAATAAACCATTATCTCACTCATACAGACAGACTCTATGTTGATCTGTAATCAGAATGTAAGATATTACAATATATTTAATATTACAATAAATTTCTTTCTAATTTACAATAAAAGCAGATGAAGAATTCTGAGATCCAAATATGCTTTATGATTGATTTTTGTGCAATTTATCGTGAAATCTATGAAAACTTTGGATTATTTATTGTGCTCTCTTTCAACATTTTCCTTACTTATTAATTTCAGAAAATTAAATTATTATCTTTAACTCATGCAATTTTTCTAATCAAATAAATAATAATAATAATAATTCTCTAATAATAAATTTAATTGTTTATAAATATATCTAGTTTTAAATATTAATGACATTTGATAAGAAAATTGATTTTTCTTAATTTTTTAATAATTTTAATTTTAATTTTTTAATTTTTTTGATCATAATCAACTACTTATTAACATTTTTATATAAATTGATTTTCAGTTTTCAGATCAAATTGATTTTGTTTAATATATAATGTCAAAACTGATAATACATATTGATATAAAAAAAAATCAATGTATAAAAATAATATTAAGACCTTTATAATCAATCTTGCTAACTTTGAGTGAAACATATAAATAATATGTTTATTATTCAGAAATTCATTTTCATAAAAAAAAAATAAAATAATAAATAAATGAAATTTGATTTCGAATTACAAATAAATTATAAACTTGTTGACTTTTTGATTTTACAACCAATATTACATAATTAATAAGTATTTTTTATTTCTTTTATTCTTTTTAATTCATTGATTTATTAAGATTTATTTAAGTTTAATTAATGTATTATGTAATGTATATTTAATAAAATTTCAATCAAAGAAAAAAGATCAATTAAATTTGTATTAATTTAAAAATTGAATTTAATGCAAATATTAAATTTGAATAAATTATCAAAAAAAATTAAATTATAAAAAATAAAAATTTTATGATAATAAATTTAATAATCAATAATTTCAATTAATATCTATCTTATAAAGTCAAAATCATCTCAAAAATTTATGCGAAATTTTTTTACTTTTTTTAAAATACAAAATCCAATCTGTAAAATAAATTTTTGTAATAAAGAAATATCATTTTTCTCATTGCTCATATTTCAAACTTTCTCTCTGAAACACATTCACTTTTGTATATCACAAAGCACAATGAACAATATTACTTTTTTTAAGAGATATTATTGTACTAACAACTTTCCACAGCTATATTTTAGCAATATCATTTAACAATCTTGTAAATCTTGTTCAAGAAGGAATTCTTAGCTTTCTCTTCATATCAACTTATAAATAGCATATTATATATAAATATTGGAATCGCATTGAATCGCTTAATACGATAAGGAAAAACGTTGAAAGGACTGGCATAAAAAGGTGTTTGGTAATAAAAATTGAGAAGGTATCCGCAGGTGGTCGGTAATAGTAGTGATGGTACATAGATGTATCTCTTTCTTTCCCGTTCTTTCAACCATTCTCTCCCACTCTATCATTCAATCTTTCTCTCAGTAGTGACATTATCGTAGTCTTTCATTCTCACGCGCTCTCTCGTTCTTGTAATACAACATGTGTATACGGGTATGAGTGTGAGTTCAACCATGTGTGTGTGTGTCGGTCGATCGGCTTCGCGACAGGAATATTTATTCTAATAGAGACCACAACCACGAAGATTATTGGCGATAATGACATCTGTGACTGCATCGAACACGAATTGAATGTTGGTTGTATCAGTAGCGCAAGTCATATGGCAGTAGATCTCCTTAGTGGTTGATTTGTTCCTCGCCTCGAATTGCGCCTGAATATACGCGGCTGCTTCACCATATTCTTGCGCCCCTGCGTTTGAACAAACATGTATCATTATTATTCTTTTAAATGCGATAAGACAAGTTAGATAATTATGTATTTTTTTTTTAAAAATGTTTTCTTAGGATTTTTTTGATAAATTAAAATTTTAATTTATATAAATATTAGTAATAATAAATTTGAAAATATTAATAATAATAAGTAACAAAAAATTCTTTTTTAATTTCCTTAAAACCTTTCCTCTTTTAACATATAAAAGATTAGTCTTACTAAAATGAATTTTTATTTTATATAAATAAGAAAATAAAAAAATTAATAAAATATTGCAGATATTTTTTTTTAATTTAATTGATTTTTTCTGATACAAATTTTAAAATATTTTTTGCAAAATAAAAATATTCTTTTATAAATAAGATAGAAAGATGATATATTTGAAAAATTAAACTTTATTTATTTCTTTTTGAATTTTTAAAAATTTATAAAATAAATTAAAAATATTGTCAATTATTATTTTTATTTTTTTATTTTTAATTCATTTCTAAATATATTTTTATGTAAAAAAATATATTATATAACAATTCAAATTTGTTCAAATATAGTTATATTTAATTTTATTGAAAAAACTTCAATAATCTAATTAAAAATTTTTTATAATTTTAAAATAAGAAATATAAAAATAATAATAATATAAAAATATAAAAATAATAATAATATAAAAATATAAAAATATAAAATAAAAATAATATAAAAATAAAAAATATAAACTTTTTATAAATCAAAAATAGTACTCGTTCTAAAAATTGATGGAGATTTCATTTATCGATTACATAATCAGTTTTTATTTCAATTTTGAGATTTTTATTTATTTATTTATTTTTCATGAGCATCAAATATATATATATAAATTGGATATAAAAGAAAAATGATAATATTTTTTAATTATTCAAAAAGTTAATTTAAATATTCAAAATTAATATAGAATATAAAATAAATAAAGAAAATTAAATTAAATTCGTACAACTTATTAAATTATATAAAAAAGTGAATTTTATACAATTTTCAACATAAAATTAAATTTTATAATAAAAATGTTATTTTATAAATTTATAATTTTTAATTTATAATTAAAATTTTACAAACTTTTTATATTATATATATATCTTATCTATCAAAATTTAAATTATGAAATATATATTTAATTTTTAAAATTTTAATAAATATCATGTACGATATATAATTTCTATACAAATAAATGTCTTTCTATATGATTTATGATTTGAAAAATAAAAAATTGAAAATTATACAATAATTATCAAAATAATGATTAAATATTAGAATAACATTGCTTTTTATATTTTAATTATATTATATTATCTGAAAATGAATCCATATGTATCAAAAATTCACAAGATAAATGACAATAAATTATACGTTATTTAAATTAGTGTATCTCAAACAAAAATATATAGTTTTCTTGTGGGGCGTGAAGGAATTCCAAGGACGGCAACAGATTACAGACTTTTTATAACAATGTGAACTTTCCACGTTTATTTTTATATACACATACACAATTTTCAATTTTTACTAACAGATGGCTTTACTAACAGATTTTCGAAATTCTTATCTTTTCTAATTTTCATTTGTTGCAACGTAACATAATGGACCATAAACTATTATGTAAAAAAATATATTATATAATAATTCAAATTCGTTCAAATATAGTTATATTTAATTTTATTGGAAAAACTTCAATAATCTAATTAAAAATTTTTTATAATTTTAAAATAAGAAATATAAAAATAATAATAATATAAAAATATAAAAATAATAATATAAAAATATAAAAATATAAAATAAAAATAATATAAAAATAAACTACTATGAATTATAAATTTTAACAATTTGGAAAGAAATTTTTTTTTGGAAAGAAATAAATATGAAATATCTTGTCATATTATAGATATTGAAATTATTATTTATCATTTTTTCATAGATCGATAATTTTATTTTTTTCATGCATATGAAAAATAATAATAGAAATTAAAATAGAAATAATTTTTTAATAATTAATAATATAATTATTAATTTTAAATAAATTAATTATTAATTAATAATACTTATTGATAATCATTAAATTATTAATAATTGATAATTAATTGTTAATTAATAATTAATAATATTATTATGTATATTAAAAATATATGAGTGATACATTTAGTGAAAATACTAACAATTTAAACAGAAATAAATATGTAAATATAAAAAAAAATTCTTACCAGCATATTCGGGGAAACAAATGGTGAGTGGAGACTTGCGAATTTTCTCTTCAAAAAGATCCTTCTTATTCAGGAATAAGATAATTGAGGTATCAGTGAACCATTTGTTATTACAAATTGAGTCGAATAGTTTCAAACTTTCTTGCATTCGATTCTGTAATAATTAATCACAAATAATATAATTAATATAATTAATATAATAACGTTAATAATATAAATAAAAAATAAACTATATATATATAAATTATATATATATATAAATATATATTTTTTTAATTATTATAATTATAAAGATATAAAATATCATATTATTGAGATTTAATATCTTAATGTCAAATATAATTTATATATGACAAAATAAAATAAGAGAAAAAAGAAAAGTAAAATAGACAATAATAAAAAATAATACAAAAAAATAAAAAAATTTTTTTTTCAAAAACAAAGAAAATTGCAATTTAAATAATTTGCAAATTTTAAAAATCACTTTTTGTACATTTTTGTACGTTTATTATTATATCATAAATTCATTACCATTAAAAATTCTTGTAATTTCTAGAATAAGATAGATTGTACTTATTTAAAGCAATATTTATAGCATTTTATGTGTCAATATATATGAGAAAAAAAAATTCAAACTGTGATAAGATAAATTTTTAAGAAATTAGTTTAATAATGAATTAAAATATAAAATATTATTAAAGATTTAATTGCTTTGAATATCTCTAAATATTTAAATATTTAACAAGCGAAAATTAATGTGAAATTGTTTTAATAATATTGATTAATAATAAAATACAATTAATTATTACTAAAATTAGAAAAAATGATAATTAATAAATTATAATGAAAATATTAAAAAATATATTTCTGCAATCAATTATAAAAAAATAATAAATCAATAAATTTCATAATTTAACAATTTCATACAATAGTTTAATTTATAATTATTTGTTATGTCATTTTGATATATAGCAATATATTTTATTTCTTATTTATCTTGTAAAATATATTTAATTAATATCTATAATAAAATTTATTATACATAGATAGTGTAAAATAGTGTAAAAAATTAACAATTTGTAATTATCTATATAATAAAAATTATATATATAATTTAATATATTAATTTTTTTATTTTTTATTTTTATAATTTAATGTAATTTAATTAAATTAGAGTTCAAAAGATTCAAGTTGATATTTATATATGTAGATGAATGCAATTTTATTATTTATGCTATGTTTGCATCAATAATAATTAATATTATAGTAAATAATAAATTAATTTTGATTGAAATAAAGAAAGAATTCTACAAATTAATTTGATGCAATATCCAATGAAATTTTGGTTATTTAAGAATAAATAAGCAAGATATTTTTCAAGAAAAAAGATAATGTCAGATTAATTCAATAGAAATCATGAAAATAAAAGGAAATCAAAATCTAGAAATATTTAAATTTCTTGATATTTAAAATGCATGTTGATAGATGTTAATAGATGAAAATAGATGAATATGCAATTTTGTTAGAATAGATATAGCTGATATAAAACAAATGTGTAGATTCAACAAAAAAATCAATTTCATCAGATTCTAAGAAGAAAAATAGAAATAATAATAAAATATAAATAAAATGTATAGAATATAGCAATATAATCTCAATAATAATCTATGAAATTTATAAAATATAATCAAAAAGAAGTAATATCTAAATAATTATGAAATAATATATAATATTTAAATAAAATATAATCAACGAATATTTCTATTTTATATACAAAAATAATTATTACACTAATTAAAATTTTATAAATGAATTTAATATCTTATAAAACAACTAAAGGCAAAATTAAAAAAAAAAAAGATCAAAAACTTAATTACATTTAATGACAAAAAATATTGAGTAAAAATAATATATACATATAATTAGTTATATATGTTTAAGACTTAAGTTTAAAAATTAGAAATAAAATATCCTATGAAAATAATATATAGCATAGACTAGAAAATATAATAAAAATACTGATTAAACATCCATGACTATTTATAATTAAAATTAATTGCAAGAATTAATAAACTTGATCAATTTAAAATCATTTGTAGAAAAAAGAAAATGTACATAATGTATATAAAATGTATATAATGTATATAAAAATAAATAAGAGGAAATGCTTTGTTAAAGTATAGAGAATATGATAATGTTAATAGTTTAGAAATATGATAATGATAATTAATAATTTAGTTTAATAATTTATTAACATAGAGAGTATGATAATGTTAATGGTTTAGTAACATACAATGGAAGAGACTTTAAATAACAACTATAATAAAAATTTGTTATATAAATTAAATATGTATAAAAAATTTAAAAAGAATATCTGTCTTATAAAACTAAAACTAAATAAAAAAAACTAAATAAAAAATGTTAATAAAACTAAATAAAATATGAAAATAAATATCAAAATTTGGCCAAAAAAAGATAATGATATAAAAAAAATAACCAAATCAAATATCTAAATAGAAAAATATTTTAGATATTTTGACATATTAAAAAATAAATATTTTAGATAATTTGACACTTACAACAATCCAGAAAAAGTATACAATTTATTAGGAACTATAAATGTCATAGAAACTATTTCTAAATAATAATTTTAAAAATATTACTAAATAAAACAAATCCAGATATATAACAATTTTTGAAAATGAAATTAAGAAAAAAATAATTGCATTTTACAGAGTTATTCTTAAGATATCTTTGAAAGATTGATTCTAAAAATTAAAAAAAAAAAAATTGGTATACAAAAATTATAGTTGAGGCTTATTTATTAAGTTATAAGCAATTAAAATTTATATTTATATATAAGCAAATAAAATGAGATGGATTATAAAACAACTTTATCTTCATTGTATCTTGCTTTATCTTTCAGGTAATGCTTAATTAAACTTCAGTTTTTTAACATAATAAATAAATTTCAATTGATATTTTTATATATCAATTTTTCTGTTTATTTTGATCTCTAAAATTGATTCTTCAAAAGTATTTGAATGAATTTATTAACATATGTGTATATACAACTGCTATTTGGTTTTAGTTTTTCAGATATCAACAAAAATATTTACCAAATAATTAAATATTAGATAATTTATATTTATTTAGATAATTTATATAGTTTAAGGACTCTAATAATCTTAACTGTAACATTTTCTATAGAAATAATTTCTTAATTAATCTTTAGAAAATTTAATCATCGCTTATTATTTATTAGAAAATATATAATATATATATTAGAAATATATATATTAGAAAATCATTATTCAGTACTTTATATATGTATATTATTTTTCAGTACTTTATAAATTAAAATATTTATAAAGTTTTTGATTACGTTATATATATTACATGTTTATTTAGCATAACCAAAACTAATTCATTAAAAAATGAAACAAAATCATCGTTTTTGTAAAAATTCAAAATTCTTTATTCAATATTGATTTGAAGATTTTATGTTTGTTAAATTATTTATACTAAATTCTATACTAATACTAAATTCGAATATTAAAAATTTTAGTAAAATGCATTATTAAAATATATATTAATAAATATATTATTATTAAAGTTATAGTAATATCATTATTATTAATATATGCATAATTATATAATGTGAAATAATAATGTGAAATAATATTTATTATTATTCATTATACATATCATAAGATTCCGAAAATTTATTTCGAAATATTTATATATCTGGTTACATTATTAATATCTCATAGCTCGATGTATCCAAACTTATTTTAAACATATTTCATACTTATATTATATATTTTAAAAATATAATATATGACATTAAAAATATTTTTACAAATAAATCAAATATATACAGATGATTATAGATAATTATATATAAAATTAGAATATTGACAATGATATTTGAAGATTATCAAAATCAGTAATATATACATCTTTATAAATAATTATAACTTCGTTAATTCCAAAGATATTATAAACATCTTAAAAAAAAACATTGCAAAAAATTATATATATAAACAGGATTCTAAAAACTTGATTTATGCATATATTTCTTAATGATATAACTTAATAATACTTAATATAAAACTTATATTACTCAATTTACAAATTATACAATTCTAATGACTTGAAAAAAATAAAATTAATATTTTAATTTATTTATTTACTTGATATAATACAAAAAATATATATTGGAATCTTTTTTTAAATAAAAAATTTATTGATATTCTAAGAACAAGAAAAAATGAAAGGATTTTTTCAGATGCATCTATAATAATGTTTATAATAAAATTGAAATTTTTTTAAATGAATAAATAATTTAAATAGAATTCCAAATACATTTATTTTTAAAAATAGAATAAAATATCATCAGATGTTGCATTTCAATTAAAAAATTAAAATATATAAAATTTGTATTATCTATTAATATAATATATTAAATTCTTATTAATACATAAGATATTATTATCTTTCAGCATTTTTTCAAAAATAGTTAACATATGGAAAATGTGATAGAGAAAAAAATTGTATTATCTTTTGTAAACAATATAATGATTCATATAATTTTTTTGTAATTACATTTTTTTGGAGATTTTAATTTTTAAATGAAGAAATTATTTTAAATTTTGTTATATATTTTTTATATATGAAAACATATTTCAAAACAAATTCAAGCATGTGTTATACAATAACTTTCAAGATCATTTAAAGTCATAAGATCAGAATAATTTAATCATTTTATAAAATTTATAAATTTATCTTATGATAAGATTATATAATGCAAACATTATTGTTATTAATTATTATTATCTATCACAATATTTATTTTTGTTTAGTTTTCCATAAATTCATTCATTATTTATATTTTCTATTTTGTAAATAAGAATAATTATCTTGCATATAATTTTGTACATATTCTATATATTTAAAATATTTAATTTATTCTACATATTTAGAATATTTAAAAATTTGATCTATCGCAATACATATTTGATGTAATCGTGATAATTTCTTACTTAATTGAATAATGAAAAAATAGACATGCGTTTATTGTGAATGTCAAAATAAAAAACAAAAAACATTGATATATCGGAAAGAATACAAACTAACGAAAATTATTTTGATAATATTTAAAAACATTTGAAATGGAATATTAAGAAGAAAATGTTACAACCGATCGACAGAAAGTAAAAAGTAGCAAATTTTAAAAAAGAATCAACTATTTTAATAAAAAAAATGATTAAAAAGATGATTGATAAGAAATATGATATATCACCTATTTCAATTCATAAAATTTTAAAAACGATTACAAAAGCTTTAAGTCATAAAATACAAGAATTATAATCAAATAATCTATCAAACTTTTGTAATTGGTTAATAATGAATAAAAACGATCATAATTGTTATAAATAAAGTCTTTGAACAAATGAATTCAACAATAATAATGACAAATATCTAATTTATCAAATATATATGAAATATATATATATGAAAAATTGAAAGTTCAGTATTTCAAATGTATTTTCGTATAAATATTTAACATAATATTATTGACGATATATTAATAAGATCTCATTTTTGTAATGAAGCATTAAATAGAAATAAATATTTTCAATTTTTGAATAATAAATTTATATGTTATAATCATTATTGCAGTTGTGTAAGATATATTCTTTTAACAAGATGTAATATTATCAATTGTAAAATAGTGAGAAATTTTTTACATAAATTTATGAATAAAAGAATAGAAGAATAGAAACTAATAGATTTGTAGAATTATTACCAAGATCTTCAAATCTGATATTTATTAATTTTTTTATAAAGTTACATAAAGATATTATTTACCGTTAAAATATAAGAGGATTTAAAAACAAAAATAGTAAAATAAAAGTCAATAGAAATTTATATCAATAATCTGTATCAAAAAATGCTACTAATAAGAAAAAATCTTCAATCTTCAAATTCAAAAAATTTTTAAATTTTGGAAACAGTACATAAGCATTACACAATTTTTTTTGTTGTTCAAAATTTTCTCTGAGAGAGTAAAATTGATTCGTGAAAATTCAATTATTTTTTGATTTTATATTATAATTCATGAAATATAATTTAAAATCACAATATCTCCTTCTTCTCATATATATATCTCATATATATCTCATATATACTTTTTTATTCTTTATCACTTTTAAAAGTTTTTCATGTGTAAGTGGATGTATATTATTCAAAAATTTATGAAATTGTCTAAACAATGAAAATTCTAATATTAATTGACATCTCATTATTATTATTATTAACCATAATGTAATCATAATAAACAAATAATATTTGCAAGATTTATGTAAAGCATTTTCATGTTTATTAGAATCTTCATATTTATTATTGATATTTATAAAGAACAAAGAAACTACTACAAAGAAACTAATATTTCTTATTGTTAATAATTCTTCACTCAACACTAATCAATTCCTTCACTTCTATTAATAAAATCAATGTATAGAATTATATTCACTACTCATTTTGTTGTTAATTAAAATAAAATTCATAATATTTAATGATTTATTATATGATAAATATTTTTTTTTTTCGTTTTTTGCTTGATATTTGCTTGATTCAAATCGGATAATATATATTATATATATATAAATTATATATATATTATGAAAATCTCAGAAACCTCTCTTGCGTATACAATATTTTATATCATATATACAATGAGATCCAGAATTTCTTTTTCCAGATTATTGTAAATAAAATATAACAAGACAATAAAGCTTGTAAAAAAAATTTCTTTCATAATTATTGAAAGTATTAGTTGTGAATTGTGAAAAAATGAATTTAAAAAAAACTTATAAATTTTGTTTAAAATATTTTTCTAATTATTACGTAAACAATTGATAAATATTTTACTAAATAGTAATATTAAAAGAAATAATTTTTATCCAAAAACTTTTTCTCTATCTCTTTATATATATAATAATTATATATTTTTTTATATATATATAATAATTCGTAAGTTATAATATAAAATCGAAAAATAATCAATTTTTCAATTGGCTCAATTTTATTTGCTTAAAGTGATTTTAGACAGCAAAAAAAAAAAAATGTGAGTTAGGAATTTTTCTTTATAAGAATGTTATTTATTAAAAGAAAAAAATTATTATTATCAAAATTTAATCATATAATTTAATCATTAATAATTTAATTTAATGAACAGTATTATTATATAACGAAATAATTGAATTATTTATCTCATTTCTGACCTTAATATATAACTTTATAAAGATTATAATATATATTTTGTTCTTAAATATCATATAAAATAATTATAGTATTTCATTTAAAAAATTGAAGATCACGAAAAAAAAGTGCAATCATAAAAAATTTATACGAATCAGCATGTTGTTTACAAAAAACAATATAAATTTTTCTTTAATAAATTTCTTTTTATATTTACAATTTAAAAAAAAAATATTAATAAAAAATACATGAATATATATATTATATATATTATATGGTTAACGAATATCTAATATCACATTTTCGATGCAAAGATGGCCATTAGTTATATACAGTTACAAAAAAACTGGACATTGGAAAAAAGGAATTATTGACGTAATAGAAAAAACTGCCGAATTTGAAAGTCTAAAGAATAGAAACAAGTGTCACTAACTATTTAAATTGTTATTGTTATATAAATTTAAAAATACAAAATATTAAAATAAGTTATATATATTATATATTATATTGTATATTTTATTATATAAAGTAAGAAAAAAAAATATTATGATGTAAAAAGCAAATTATTTCAATACACTAAAGAATGAGGAGTTAATCGAAGAGATTGTTGAAAAGAGAACTAGTTAATTATTAACAATGCAATAGTCTGTCATATTTTCTTCCCACGTCTGTTTTATCATTATGTGAATAGTCATATATATGTATATATACATACTTTATACTATATACTGTATACTGTATATTATTTTTTATTGAAATATAATATAGTATAATATAGTATAGTATAAAATGTATTATTAAGAGCATTATAATTTTTACTTAATTTTCGTAATCTTTAAGATTATAGTTTTAAATTATTAATTAATAATTAAAAAATATTAATTATTATTAATTAAAGTTAATTAATTATTAATTTTTTATAATTTGAAAATACCATTCTAGATGTTTTTGTAATGAATAAATGATATATTAATATTTTATTTAAAAAAATATTTCAACGAATGCAATGTTGACTTAATTAATTAACATTAAGATTTTTAATCTATTCATAAAGTTTAAAATCCTTTATATGATTCTTTAATAGATATATAAGTATCAAAGTGTAATTTAGGCTTTCCTGACTTCTTAAATTACTCTATTGTTACAAATTTTATTATTATCATGTATCAAGTATCTTTTTGTTTTTATATGCAATGACACATTATAACTTTATGTTACATTCATTTAAATGAACTACTAAAAACAATTATATCATTTTGAAAAAACTTTTTGTACTAAATTATAAAACGAAGCAAAAATTAAAATATTTGATATAAATATTAAATTATATATCAATATAAATTATGATAATTTATTTATTATGATAAATTATGAAAAATATTTGATAATCTTAATAAGATAAAGATTTAACTTCGCTCATAATATACTATTGTATATTAAACTATAAATTGAATACATTATATTTCTTTTTTAAGTAATAATTTACAATTTCATCTAGAGAAAAATGCATAAGCATGACAAATTAATTAATGACATGATTATAACATATATAGAGATTAAATAGTTAGCAGTTATCAATAATTTAAAATGCAATAACAATATAATGCTAGATGTTTTAAAATTCAAATAATTAATATAATTCATATAATTCAATAATTCATCTACTTCTTTATTTAAGAAGCTTATAGTAATTTGTTGCTATTTAAATTTATTATCGAATATTTATGAATTTTTTTTTTTGTATAGTTAAAAAGTTTGTAAAAGTTTAAAGTAAGAAAATTTTTATAAAAGAAAAATTTATAAAATTTCGTATATTTTTAATATATTCTATAATATAAAATATTTCTTCTATACTTTTTCTTATTGTAACTTTTCAAGTATACATATAGAATAATATATTTGAAATAAATTAAGTTCATAACAAATATTTATTTATTTGTGACTTGCAATTGTTTGAAAACAGCTTATATGTATATGTATATTATAAAATGCTTATATATATATATATAAAGATTTATATGAAAATGAAAAACAAAAAAAAAAAAAAAAACATAAAAGTATACAAAAATATCAGTTAAGATTTATTTATTAATTAAAATTTGTATTTTATGAAATAAAAAGAAGATAGAATAAAACAACGAACAACAAAGATTAATCTTAGTTTATTTTATTTTATTTTATTTTCATCTCATTTTATCTATATATATATATATATATATATATATACATATTATAATACAAATTTAAATTTGCTTATAACTAATAATAAATAAGTCTCAATCAATATTTTCGTATATCAATTTTTGTGTTTATTTTAATCTCGAATCGATTCTTTAAAGAAAATAAATATTTATAATCACTAAATATACATTAATATGTATATATAATATCACTAAATATACATAAATATAAATATATTAATATACATCAATATCAAAAATATATAATATACACGTAGCAGAACGATATTTATTTTACCATAAATGTATTAATTCATAAATAATTATATATACATGTATTTCATTCTATTTCAGTTTAATTTATATTTAATTATAAATGATTTCTGAATGAGAGCGCATCTTATAATTTTTAATATTTTTCAAGAATTCAATTTTCAATAATTCAATATCTAAATTTAAATTTCATATATATATTTATATAAAGTATTCTTTATTTAATAATATAGAAGAAGATTAAATAAAGTTAATATTTTTTTCTATAAATTTTATAAATGGATGGATAAAATAAGAAACAATCTGAAAAAATAAATTAATGAAAATAAAATCTTTTGATAAATTTTATGTTAAATTTGAATTTAATTGTAAAAATTATTTTAGATTTTGCAGATAAATGAATACAAAATATTAATTTTGTAATATATTTGAGAAACAATAAATATAGAAAATTTTTTTTAATATTTTTATCAAATCCATTGTACAATTATATTTTTTCCTATAAAGTCAAAATTTGATTTATTATCATTTTTTTTTTTTACTGACATATATCGCTTTGAAGTTGTTCTATTTTTAATTTAAAAAAGAAATTTATAAATATTTGAGTTTGTTATCTTCAAATAGTAACCTAATAAAAAATGTTATGGTTTTTCGAATATTAAGAAAAAATATTTTTTAATAAATCTTTATATATAGTGAAACTTATTTATATACAGTGAATTTCAAAATAATCTTATCTTAAAAGAAAAGAATCCTATGATTATAAATTAAATTTGATTTTATAATATATATTAAGGAAAAGAATAGCACTATTTTATTATAATACAATAAAGTTGATAAAAATATTGAAAAAAAAGTTTCTATATTTTACGATTTTGTGAATATAGCAAAATTCAATGTTTGCATCTTCAAAATTGCAAAATTTAAAGTAATAGATAATTTTTATTTCTATTATTAGATAATTTTAAACTAAATTCAAATTTAACATATAAAAAAAAACATAAACATATTTTTATTTTGAAATTTATCCTATCCATTTTTCACATGAACAGATAAAATTTTTAGAGAGAAAAAAAAATATTAATTAAAATTGATCTTTTTCTATTATTATTATTAACAAAAAATACTTTATATAAATGTGTATAAATAATTTAGATAAATTGCATTATTTTGAAAAAAATGAATTGAAATGACAAGATATGCTATCATTTTGTCTGGCAATATAAGAAACAATTTTAGAAAATAGTATATATGATTATATATGATTAGCCAATTTTTGAAAAAAATAATTCTCACTATTTGTGAAATATTTGTGAACATCTGTATAAATATATATATTATAAATATAACAAAATGATGATATTATGATATTAAATGATATCTTAAAAATAAATCAATAAAATCAACAAGATATATACTTTTTTATTATAATTATCATGCATTATAAAAAAAATATAATAAATAAAAAGAATAATAAAAAATATTATATATA